GCTCTAATCTTTATTATTTCTCTTTTTCTGCTTGGTTTAGTCTTTATTTGCGTTCTTTCTCCAGCTCCTTTAGGTGTAAGGTTAGCTTGTGCATTTCGGATTTTTCCAATTTTTTGAGAGAGTCTTGTATGGCTATGTACTTCCCTCTAAGGACCGCCTTTGCAGTATCCCATAGGTTTTGAACTGATGTGTTTTCATTCTCATTAATTCAGTATGTAAACTAACTTGAGTTTGTTTTAATTAAGATAGACATGTCTTTAGAGTTATCAGCATTAAACAGGAAACTTTTATTCTACCAAGATTTACTGAAGGTCCAATAAGCTTGTGTTATCTCTGTTGCAATTTGTTAGCAACAAGATGACTTAAAATGGTGGTTAATTTTGTCTGTCTCAAAATTTTCATGGGTCATTGTTAAGATAGCTGTCAATATCTCTGGTAACCTGAAACTTTAAAGTTTTGCTTGGATGATAAAGGAGACTGAATTGTTGGACATCTAGGTCTTTTCTAAATAGGATGGAGTGCTAAAACATTGATTACTGGATGTAGGTTTGTGCTTTTGACTGCTTATTGCAGAGAAGCTGATGATATTTGGGTCTGTTGGTAAATACGCTTTGTGCCTTATTTAAAGATTGTACTATGAAAAAACATGTTTTTTAAATTATAAAATATATTTATACATTTCAGATCTAAATAATTATGGTGTAACAGTTCACAATTGGTTACTACTTAGTTTTCATGGGAGACTAAGGCTTCTAAGAGTTAAAATTCTGCTAAATGTAATGAAGAGTGATTTTTTAAAAAGGGCCTAGGTCAAAATCTGAATAAATAAAAAAGTTGTAGAAGGCTTATGAAGGAAAATCTTTGGAAATGAATTTTATATGCGGTCAGGACTAAGAACGAAATGAATGGATTTTAAAAGTATACTGGTATAAGACTGAAATTCTGCTTTTCTCTCTGTTAAAAAGACAAAGTTTTCTTGGATTTTTGGTCTGTTCTTGATAAGAAAACATAAAGTTTTTTTTTTTTTTCTCTTCTGTCTGCCCAGAAAACCAAGGTTTCTATATTTTGTCTTTATCAGGTCTTTAATTACTTAATTAAAACTCCTCAATATTAAAGGAGCTGAGTTTTGCTAACAACTATATAACCCAACATATTTGCCTTTGGAATCTCTTGTTGCCACCTTGGTTAAACAAATAATTAAATTTTAAGTTTTATAATGATCTGTAATCCTATTTAGGATTTTTTTTTATAACTTTCTGGGGGTTTTAACAAACTTACGCCATTCAGTGCCATAACAGATGATCCTTTCTGCTCAAGGAGACTCCCATATGTTATCAACTCTAGGTAGAGCTGCCTCAGCCTTTCCTAACTCCTCTTAAATTCTCAACTGACCAACCTTGACCCATACGTAGGGACACATCTACGCCCCTATCCAGCAGGATGCAGTTTCAGAAGATAAGACCTTCCCCTCTCAGCAACCTTAACGATTTAAGGGTCAAAGTTGTCCAGGGGTGAAAATGACGAGGGAAACAAAGGTGAGAGAAATGTAGCTTAAATTAAATCTCCTTACAGTTTTCAGCCCACAGATACCTGAAACCTGTAGGGCATGACCCTCCTCAAGGAACACACAGCTGCCTTAGTACCTTCATGTTTATGTTTTATTAAAGACTAAAAGTAACCTGATCTTAACAGCAGCTAGCCCTTCAAGGTCCTGAAAGCCTTTCTCCCAAATTCCTTAGAGACTTACGCTCTCCCTAACCCCCACTAATTAAAAAGTACATAATGAGCCACTCCTCATGACCCCAGGGCAGCAGCTCTTTCTGCCCATGGGTCCTGTCCTCATGCTTTAATTGGTTAGCCCGGTGATGGGTATTAAGGAGGGCACGTACTGCATGGAGCACTGGGTGTTATACGAACACAATGGATCGTGGATCACCACATCAAAAACCAATGATGTATTGTATGGTGACTAACATAACATAATAAAATTAAAAAAAAATAGAATAAGGACCCCCTAACAAAAACAAAACCCAAAAAACCCCCACCTTTTTGCATCAAAGACCCCTCAAGAATTCTTTCTTAGCTGTTTGCTCACGAACCCTAACCTTCCAAATTTCAAGAGGCATCTTAAACTTCACACATCTCAAAAACTGAACTTGTCTTCCTGTGACCACAGTGTCCATCTCTCCGTTCCCTTTAAACGGAAACCTTTGGACTTGTCCTTCTTCCTTGGTCTTCGTGTGGTAAATTGCCAAATCCAGTTGCTTCTGATGTGATCTGATGCGATGTGGGGTCCGGGAGCGAGTGGTCAAGAAAGAGTTCTTGAGATGTTTTTTGTTTTTTTGTTTTTTTAAAAGGTGGCTTTATTAAAGCACGGGGACAGGACTCATGGGCAGAAGGAGCGGCCCTGGGGTAGTGAGGAGTGACTGATTATACAGCTTTCCATTGGGAGGGGCAGACATAAAGCAAGTTTCCAACAGGATTTTCACATGTGAAAGAAGACTGTCGGGGGGGCGCCTGGGTGGCTCAGTCCGCTGAGCATCTGCCTTCTGCTCAGGTCATGATCCCAGGGTCCCGGGATGGAGTCCCTCATCCGGCTCCCTGCTCAGCGGGGAGCCGGCTTCTCCCTCTGCCTGCCGCGCCCCCGTTTGTGCTCTCTCTCTGTCTCTCTTTCTCTGGCAAATAAATACATAAAATCTTAAAAAAAAGAAGACTGTCGGGGGGGCGCCTGGGTGGCTCAGTCCGCTGAGCATCTGCCTTCTGCTCAGGTCATGATCCCAGGGTCCCGGGATGGAGTCCCTCATCCGGCTCCCTGCTCAGCGGGGAGCCGGCTTCTCCCTCTGCCTGCCGCGCCCCCGTTTGTGCTCTCTCTCTGTCTCTCTTTCTCTGGCAAATAAATACATAAAATCTTAAAAAAAAGAAGACTGTCGGGGGGGCGCCTGGGTGGCTCAGTCCGCTGAGCATCTGCCTTCTGCTCAGGTCATGATCCCAGGGTCCCGGGATGGAGTCCCTCATCCGGCTCCCTGCTCAGCGGGGAGCCGGCTTCTCCCTCTGCCTGCCGCGCCCCCGTTTGTGCTCTCTCTCTGTCTCTCTTTCTCTGGCAAATAAATACATAAAATCTTAAAAAAAAGAAGACTGTCGGGGGGGCGCCTGGGTGGCTCAGTCCGCTGAGCATCTGCCTTCTGCTCAGGTCATGATCCCAGGGTCCCGGGATGGAGTCCCTCATCCGGCTCCCTGCTCAGCGGGGAGCCTGCTTCTCCCTCTGCCTGCCGCGCCCCCGTTTGTGCTCTCTGTCTCTCTTTCTCTGGCAAATAAATACATAAAATCTTAAAAAAAAGAAGACTGTCGGGGGGGCGCCTGGGTGGCTCAGTCCGCTGAGCATCTGCCTTCTGCTCAGGTCATGATCCCAGGGTCCCGGGATGGAGTCCCTCATCCGGCTCCCTGCTCAGCGGGGAGCCGGCTTCTCCCTCTGCCTGCCGCGCCCCCGTTTGTGCTCTCTCTCTGTCTCTCTTTCTCTGGCAAATAAATACATAAAATCTTAAAAAAAAGAAGACTGTCGGGGGGGCGCCTGGGTGGCTCAGTCCGCTGAGCATCTGCCTTCTGCTCAGGTCATGATCCCAGGGTCCCGGGATGGAGTCCCTCATCCGGCTCCCTGCTCAGCGGGGAGCCTGCTTCTCCCTCTGCCTGCCGCGCCCCCGTTTGTGCTCTCTGTCTCTCTTTCTCTGGCAAATAAATACATAAAATCTTAAAAAAAAGAAGACTGTCGGGGGGGCGCCTGGGTGGCTCAGTCCGCTGAGCATCTGCCTTCTGCTCAGGTCATGATCCCAGGGTCCCGGGATGGAGTCCCTCATCCGGCTCCCTGCTCAGCGGGGAGCCGGCTTCTCCCTCTGCCTGCCGCGCCCCCGTTTGTGCTCTCTCTCTGTCTCTCTTTCTCTGGCAAATAAATACATAAAATCTTAAAAAAAAGAAGACTGTCGGGGGGGCGCCTGGGTGGCTCAGTCCGCTGAGCATCTGCCTTCTGCTCAGGTCATGATCCCAGGGTCCCGGGATGGAGTCCCTCATCCGGCTCCCTGCTCAGCGGGGAGCCTGCTTCTCCCTCTGCCTGCCGCGCCCCCGTTTGTGCTCTCTGTCTCTCTTTCTCTGGCAAATAAATACATAAAATCTTAAAAAAAAGAAGACTGTCGGGGGGGCGCCTGGGTGGCTCAGTCCGCTGAGCATCTGCCTTCTGCTCAGGTCATGATCCCAGGGTCCCGGGATGGAGTCCCTCATCCGGCTCCCTGCTCAGCGGGGAGCCGGCTTCTCCCTCTGCCTGCCGCGCCCCCGTTTGTGCTCTCTCTCTGTCTCTCTTTCTCTGGCAAATAAATACATAAAATCTTAAAAAAAAAAAAAAGAGGGCCGTCAGGGTTGCGGAGGCCGGGCTCTGGCCAAGCTACGGTTGTTCATCCCTCTAGCAGGCGTTCACCTTGAGCTTGGGAGCTCCTGGAGGAGGGTGCAGCCTGCCTGCTCCCAGTACCTGCAAGGGGCTGCCGGCCGCAAGGACATTTCCTTCCACCCACATGTCCCTTGATCTCCGCACCTTTCACAGCAGGGGCCGGCTCAGTCTGGAGCACCCGACGCAGGGCTTGGGAGCAGGCGCTTAGGTCTGCTGCTGGCCGGGGGCAGGAGCGCGGCAGTGGGCAGTTCCTCGAGTCCGGGCGGGACTGCGGGTCGGTGACCGCCCGGGGGGCCAGGGCGAACTGGGTCGGAGCCTGGTTCGCAGACCTCACTGAGCACGCGGCGCAGCTGATCAGCTGGAAGCTGCCCAGGCTCCGGCCGGGGGTTCCGGTGCCCTGGCTCTGGGGGGGCCCCAGGAATCCGCCCAGGGAGCAAACATCCCGAGATACGGACACACAGCCCTCGCGGAGACCCACCCGGAGCGCCGAGGAGGCTTCCCCTCTGGCGCGCCCCGCGTCTCCCAGGCAACGGGCCCGAGGCGCCGCGTGATGACGTCAGGGGGACGGTGGCCGAGAAGCGTGCAGAGCTGTCAGCCTGCCCAGGAGGGCTGCGCGGGCCATCGGCGGTGTGCCGCGCGCCGGAGGACACTGCTAGGGCGCCTGCTGTGCGCGCTGGACGGTGTGGGGACCCAGCGACCAGCAGGGCCGGCGAAATCCAAGGTCGCGTCCATGGGGCCGGGGGCGCGGGCGGCGCGGGCGGCGCGGGGACGGAGCACCGGGCAGGAGGGGGGGTGGCTTGTGCAAAGGCCCCGGGGCACACCCGTTCCCCGCGCGGAGTTGCTGGGGGCGAGACTGCGAGCGCGGGCACCCGCAGGTCATCTGGAGACAGTTTGAGGAGTTTGGACATTGTCCCCTGAGGTCGCCACACAGCGGTCTCCTAAAGAGAGAATATCAGTCTGCATTTTTTTTTTTAATTTTTTATTCTTATGTTAATCTCCATACATTACATCATTAGTTCTAGATGAAGTGTTGCATGATTCATTGTTTGTGCATAACACCCAGTGCTCCATGCAGAATGTGCCCTCCTCAATACCCACCACTAGGCTAACCCGTCCTCCCACCCCCCTCCCCTCTAGAACCCTCAGTTTGTTTCTCAGAGTCCATCATCTCTCATGGTTCGTCTCCCCCTCCGATTTCCCCCCCTTCATTCTTCCCCTCCTGCTATCTTCCTTTTTTTTTTTTTTTTTAACATATATTGCATTATTTGTTTCAGAGGTACAGATCTGAGACTCAACAGTCCTGCACAATTCACAGCGCTCACCAGAGCACATACCCTCCCCAGTGTCTATCACCAAGTCACCCCATCCCTCCCACCCCACCCCCCACTCCAGCAACCCTCAGTTTGATTCCTGCGATTAAGAATTCCTCATATCAGTGAGATCATATGATACATGTCTTTCTCTGTTTGATCAGTCTGCATTTTAAGAGTCACCTCTCTGCTGCTGAGAGGAAAACTGACTGAAGGCGGCTGTTGCCGTTGTAATGATGTCCTGCGGGGGACCACTCCAGTGCTCCCTGCGAATTGCAGCGGCCTAGACGCTAGACACTAGACTAGCATTACCGTGTGGTCACACGGAGAGGTGAAGTGACAGGCTAAGTTCACCCAGCCCAGAAGTGCTAATGTTGGTGTGTCACGCCGGGCATTCTGGCGTCAGAATCCTTGGTCGCCGCAGCTGCACCATCATGCAGTCTTGTGGGTGACCTCGGGTGGCATGGGGTCCTAGGGGTTTCCCTGACTGCTTAGGATCATGGGATTTGAGGTTGGGTGTGCCAACAGCCCTAGATCTCGGGCGACTTCTTCCCTCTGGAAAGCTTCCAGTTCGCTTACCTGCTGAGAATACTTGGGGTTGCAAGCACCACTCATGTAGTTGCTTAACATTCACCTGCACTCAGGGATTGTTCGATGATTGGACAGTCTTGTGATCAATTTAGTAGTTGCGGAGAGAAGAAGGGATTTAGTAGGTGTTAACAGAGCTGCAGTGGGGGGCTTGGTAACCAACCAGGTTTAGGGGCAGAGAAGGGAATTCCAGCACAGCACTCAGGCTTGTCGCTCCAGTAACTCAGGGGAACTGGCAATGTGGGCCCGTGGGAGGAGAGGCTGGGCCAGGGAGCCCTGGGTTTGAACATTCAGAGCTTGAGGACCTCTAGACTGTGAGAGAGGGAGGGGTGTCCAGGAAGCTGCAGGTCTGCAGGGTCCAGTCTGGGAGGCCTCCACGCATCAGAGACCATTTCAGGTTATGAAGAGTGAGTGTGGCCAAGGCTGAGAGTCTGCAAGGAGCCAGAGGGGAGCAGGAAGGGATGCACGGTGTGGTGTCCCGGACCTCAAGGAGGGAGCATGGGGAGTGACAGGGATGCATCGAGGGCACAGAAGTCCAGAAAGATAAGAGTTCCCCTGAGACTTTATAGCTTGCATTTTTCAAGCACGTGGATTCTGCCAAGGGCTGTGACTTACCTTTAAAAAAAAGTCTTGTTTTGTTGAGGTATAACTCACCGTACAATTCATCCACAACCGTGCAATGTGGTGCAGCCACCGGTGCTATTTATTCCCAGAATGTTTTCATCACTCCAGAAGAAATCTTGGCCCCATTAGGAGTCATTCCCCGGCTGCTGGCAGCTGCCAGTCTACTTTCTATCTCTATGTATTTGCCCACATTGCACATTTCATGTAAGTAGGAGCATGCAATATGTGATCTTTTGTGTCTTGACTTCTGTCACTTAAGGTAACACTGTCAAGGTTCATCCAACGATATTTCACTGTATGGGTAGTCTACATTGTGTTTACGCATTCATCAGTTGATGGACATATGGGTTGTTTCCACTTTTGGGGGGGTTATAAATAATGCCACTATGAACATTCGTGCACACATTTTTGTGTGGATATTTCTTTCCATTTCTCTTGGGCGTATAGCTGGGAGTGCAGTTGCTGGGTCACATGGTGGCTGTATATTTAAACTTTTGAAGAACCATCAGCCTTTCCCAAAATGACTGTGCCGTTCTGCATTCCCACCAGCAAGGCACGAGGGCATGAGGGTTCCACTCTCTGCACGTTCTCATCAATGCATGTTATTGTCTGTCGGTTTGATCCTGGCCATCGTAGTGGAGGTATCTCATTGTGGTTTCAGTTTGCACTCCCTGATGGTGAATGATGTGGAGCATCTCTTCACCTGCTCTTTGGCCATCCGCGTATCTTTGGAGAAACCTCTGTTTGAGACTTTTAAATTGGGTTGTTTGGCTTTGTTATTAAGATTCTTCACATAGTCTGGGTGCAAGTCCCTTATCAATATGTGATTTGCAAATATCTTCCGTTCTCTGGTTTGCCTTTTCACTCACTCATTGGTGTTCTTTGCAGCAAAAGTTTTTGAGTTTGATGAAGTTGAATTAATCTACTTTTATTGTTTGTGCTTCTGATGCCGTGTCCAGGAAGGCGTGGCCTCACCTAAGGTTGTAAAGATTTACTCCTACCGTCCCTTCTTCGAGGTTTTAGTGTTAGCTCCTATATCCAGGTCTGTGTCCCTTCTGAATTAAGTGGTGTGTGTGTGTGTGTGTGTGTGTGTGTGTGTGTGTGTTTAAAGAGTGGGCCCTCATTCCATCGCATGTGGACATCGGGCGGGGCGGGGGGGCCCGACACCACTTGAGAAAACTGCTCCTTCCCCAGGACGTTGTCCGGGCATGCTGGCCAAAGGCAGTTGACCCTACATATCAGGGTTTACTGCTGGACTCTCAGCTCTGTCCCGTCAATCTACATGCATCTGTCTTCATGTGCTGCCAGATCAGTCCCCTTTGTGGCAAGTTTTGAAATCAGGCAGAACGGATTCTCCAACTTTGTTCTTTTTCAAGGTGGTTTTGTCTATCCTGGGTTCCTTACATTTCCAGATAGATTTTAGGATCAGCTTTTTAATTCCTGCAAAAAAAAAAAAAAAAGAAAAAGAAAAAGCCAGCTGGGATTTTGATGGGGACCACACTGGCTCTGTAGATGAGTTGGCGAATATCAGTATTTTAACAATATTGAGTCCCTCTGACTCGTGAACAAGGGGTGTCTCTCCATTTACTGAGATCTCAGGTTTCTTTCAAAAATGCTTTGTAGTTTTCAGAGTATAAGTTTTCCACTTCTTTTGCTGAATTTATTTCTCCATATTTTATGATTTTTGATGCCGTCATGAATTGAATTTTTCTTCATTTCATTTTTGAGTTGTTCACTGCTGGTGTATAGAAATTCAGTTGAGTTTTGCATATTGATTTTGTACCCTGTAAACTGGCTGAGCTAACTGATTCTAATCGTTTTTTGGTGGATACCTTAGGATTTTCTATATACATAATCATGTCATCTGCAGATAAGAGATAGGTTTCTAATCAGGATGCCTTTGATTTCATTTTCTTGCATGACGGCACTGGCTGGAGTGTCCAGTAGTGTGTTGATGAAAAGAGGCAGAGTGGACACCTTTATCTTGTTGCTGATGTTCGGAGAAGGGCATTCAGTCTTCTCTATTAACATATGATGAGAGCTGTGGGCATTTCATAGACGCCCTTTATCAGGTGGAGGAAGTTCCCTCCTGTTCCCAGTTTGTTCAGAATTTCTGTCACGAGAGGGTGTGGGATTTTGTTGAATGCTTTTTCTGCATCCGCTGACACGATCATATATTTTTGTCCTTTATCGTGTTGGCATGGCATATTACATTGATTGACTCTTTATTTTCTATTCTTTTTTTTTGTTTTTTGTTTTTTAGAGAGAGAGAGAGAGAGGTGGGAGGGGCAGAGGGAGAGGGAGAGAACCCCAATCAGACTCCACGCTCAGCTGGGGCCCAACGTGGGGCTCAATCTCACGACCCTAAGATCATGACCTGAGCTGAAATCAAGAGTCAGATGCTCAACCGACTGTACCAGCCAGGCGCCCCCTAATTGACTTTCACATGTTGAGCCGCCCGTAGTTTCCTGGGGGCACAGGTCCCTTGTCCTGGTGTGTGATCTTTCTCCTGTGGGGCTGCATTCAGTCTGCAGGACTTGCTCAGGAGTTGTTCACCTGTGTTCATAAGGGATGCTGGTCTGTAGCCCTCCTTTCTCGAGATGTCTTTGGTTTGGGATTCAAGGTGCTGCTGGCTTTATGGGACACCCTACAGAGGTGTGCCCTGTGCCTCTGTTTTTTGGGAGACTTTGTGGCTAATTGGTATGTTTCTTTAAATGTTTGGTAGAATTCACAGTGGAAGCCCCATGGCTTGTCTTTGTGGGCAGTTTGTTGATTCTTACCCAGCATCTGTGTCCACAGTAGGTCTGTTCAAATTTCCTACCCCCTCCCATTCGCCTCTTGGGGGGGGCGCGTCCCCTCCGTGCCTTTCCCCTCTTGCACACACACACACACACACACACAAGTTCTTTTGTCACGAGATCACGCTCCCATTGCTTCTCAGTATTGAGCAGCCATACTCAGAGCCCCGCGTCCTAGACTGTTTCTACGCTCAGTGGGTCCATGCTCGGGACCGCACTCTCCTGCTGTTCCTCTAAGTCTGGGTTCACCAGCCCCTCCTGTCCTGGGCCTTGATGAGCTGGAGCACTGTGGAAAAGGAGCCAGTCCTCTCAGAAAATTTCAGAATGATTCTTTGGTCAGGGGGGCTGGGCTGCAGGGTGCCTGCTTTGTTGGTGGGAAGCCAGGTGTCTGTCAAGAGAGTTCAGGACAAAAGTCTGTGTTCAAAGGCTCTCTGGCAGATGTCCCATGTCCAGGCAGGCTTGTAGAGGACCTTTGGTCCTGTCCTGTGTGGCCAGAGTGGACCGGCCAGCGTTAAACGGACTCCAGAGGGAGGCTTCCTGGGCCGCGAGGCCTGGCTGGGCCTCGCAGGACGGGCCTAGTGGCCCCGAGAGGGCGAGGTGTCCTCGGGCCAGGCTGTAGCCCACAGAGCCTCTAGCCTCAGCTGCCCAGGGCTGCCCACTGCAATTGGCCGCCTCCTCACCTTGTCTTTGGGGAACGTAGACATGAGGTCTTGTACGGTCATTCTCTTTTGCCAGCCCTTCGGGAGTCTGTTTGCTTCTCTCCTACTTGTCACACGGCGTGCCCACACTGTGCCTCGGGTGGGTGACTGGGCCAGCTCGCTGGCTCAGGTCGTCTGTCTCCTGCAGGCTGATGCCCAGCGATGGCACCCCCATCGGAAGGTGGCACTGATGCCCTGCTCCCAGATCTCCCCAAGGGGCCCCTGCAGGCCTACCGCGCCCGCGCCTCCTTCTGCTGGCAGGAGCTGGTGCTGTTCCTGGAAGGCGAGGACATGCTGCGCCTGAAGGTGAGGGGAGCCGGCAGTGGGCCGGGCTGAGCCCCGTGGCTGTGCCGGGTGTCTGGTTCGTGGGCGCTGGCAGGCCGTCTGGCCCCTGAAGGCCCCAGCAAGTGCCCCGTGTGGCCCGGGTCCTGGGAGCCCTCTGGGGGAGCGTCACTGCCGCCCAGGGAGGAGCTCAGGCTGATTCAGCTTCTGAGGCCTCGGGTCCCTGTGCTTGCGACTGGAACGACTTCCATCTGCCCCTGGGTCTCTGGGCTGGACCGGGGCTCATGGAGCAGATCGTAGTGAGGCTCCGTCCGTGGCCTCCAAGTGGGCCACTCCCATCTCCTCCATTTCCAGAAGGCCATCTTCTCAGCTTTGGAGAATGACCCGCTCTTCGCTCATTCGCATGGGGAAGATCTCTCCCTGGAGAGGTACCGGGAGCTGAGCTTCCTCCGCTGCAAGCGGGTCATGGAGTACAGCCTCCTCCCCGTGGAAGAGATGGTAGCCAGGCCTCTGTCGGTCCAGACGCTCATCGCCTGTCTGGGCATGTATGACTGGTCCCTGGCTGTCAAGTTCTTGCTGCACATGCTGGTGAGTGGGCAGGGAGGAGGGCGGAGGAGGGTGCCGCCCGGCCAGGCAGGAGGCCGAGGCACGGACAGAGCAGGTCCTTGTTCATGTAAATGACACACAGCCCGTGAGGTGCAGACAGGGCCCGCGGGGTGCGCTGCTGGCCAGTGTTTGCTGGCGTGTAGGGTTTCGTGGGGAAGCGCGCATTTGGGGAAATGGTTCTTTTAAGAGAGTTCTGAGAAATAAGAGAGGAAGCAAAAATGGAGATGAGAACGCATGGGCAGATCTCGTGATGCCTTAGGAAAAAGTCCTGCTTTTCTCAGCTGTCTGTGCAAATCGGCACACAGGAGTCCTCGACGAGAATGCCGTACAAGTTAAAGCCCCGTAAGAAGAGGAGCTTTGGGACCTTTTTGCTTTACACCAACCCCCTGCCCCCCCAAAAAACCCCACAAAAAGCAAAACCAGCAAGGAAGGGGAAGCAGGTCAGAGGGGACGCTGGGGCTCCCATTGCCGGTACACGGGCAGAGGTGAGGACGTGTCCATGGCCTCGGCAGACACGCGGCCCACGCCTGGGGCTCTGATGGGAAGCTGGGCTTGCCTGCCCGTCCTGCACCCTCGCCCCTCCGCTCCCCCTGTGCTCCCGTCACCCTGCCCGTCCGTCCCCTTGGGACTTCCCTCTGGCATCTTAAGTGTGAGGTGCTCCTGCTTAAGTTACATGAACTGCTCGGGCCGGGGATGCAGGTCTCACCCCGGCCATGGGCATTACAGTGTGTGCCGTCCCCAACGCCCCAGAAGAGTAGGACTCCTTAACTTGTACCTGTTGCATGATGATTTTGTATTTCCAGACTTTTGGATCAGCGATTTACAGCTCTGGTTCTGAAAGACATTTAAAATACCTTCCAAAGATCTTCAACATGGACGTGAGTTGAAAGCCCCTGTGAGCTGTGAGCCCACGTTCTTCTCCCCGTGCACCTCAGGGAGCAGGAGGGAGTCCCTGGGGGCCGCACCGAATCCCCAGCAGTTGGTGGGTTTAGCACATGGCTCTCAAAGCCAAACCTTCAGTTTTCTTCCACTCCCGGGAGCAGTTCCTGGTTCTGCGCTGCCCTGGTGAGGCTGCTGTCAGCTCGCCCAGCCTTCTGTCCCGCAGGCTGGGGCTATGGCGTCCAGCATGGCCCCGTGACCCTGTAAGACCCCAGCCGGTTGGGTGAGGGGGTAGGGATTTGGTGCTTTGGCCTCTAATTTAGTCTTTCCGGAAAGACAGTGGCAGGGCCCCTCCAGGAGCGCGCAGAAAGAACCTTTCTTGCCTTACACCATTTTGTGCTTCGATACTAGATTTTTGGATGCTTTGCGGTGACTGAACTCAGTCACGGGAGTAACGCCAAGGCCATCCGAACAACTGCTCACTACGACCCCACCACCGAGGTAGGTATTATGTTCCCGTTGGTCTTGGGGCTTCGAGCATGCATAACGTGGGGTCCCTACACTCAGAAATCTGTCCTTGTACACGTGTGCTTCCCATGCACGCTGAGATCGTCACCCTGCCAAGTGGCGGCTTGGGACATAGAGAGTTTATTTGTTCACCAGGCAGCCTGTTGGTGTTGGGTTCCTACATGTTCAAGCGGCCCACGCTTTCTCAAATGAACAGTGTGAAGAAGGTTCTCCTTCACACTGGTCCCTTTCTAGCTGCCTGCTCCCCATCTGTGGCCAGGCTCTGCCAGCCAGGGGCCTGCCCTGTCCACTCCTGCCCCTGCATCTGGCCCCTCGGACCACGTGGCTGGTGAGCACCATTGGCCGCTGCCTTGTGCGTTCCACCAGCAGATCCGTGGCTCAGGTGTTATTCTCAGCACCAGGCACTCACGGGCTGTGTCCTTGCTCTTGGGGACCAGACGCTCTGGGCTCTAGTCGGGGGAGTCAGATGTCAGCTAATGGAGTCATGATTTATCGGGTGGTCGGTGCTGCGGAGGGAAGCGAGGGCAGGGAGAGGATGGGGCGCACGGGTCAGGCAGCCTTCTCTCTCCATGACCTCTGTGCCCTGCCATCCCTGTCGCTGGGGTCAGTCTCCTCTGCTTGTCTGAGGACAGTGCCCTCCACCGCTCTTTACACACTGGTCTGGTGTTTCGGGACCCCCCGCCTTCCCCGTGCTGGTAGTAGAAAGCAGAACAGAAAGCGAAGCCCTGTGCTCATGTGCTCGCTCATCACTCATCCATTCTCCAACAGCGCGGGCCGAGTGTGCACCTGCCAGGGGTGCACAGGGCCACAGCCCTGAGGGGAGCTGCCGGCGGGGCAGAGTGGGGCCAGGGGAGAGGTGGTCGCCGCCGGCATGACAGCCGTCCACAGCAGAGTAGGGCGGAGAGAGAGCCACTCAGCCACGGCCCCCTTTGGATTTCCAGCCACCAGATACCTTTCTCTGAACCCAGGTTTTTCTGGCCTGGCCTCGTCTCTTTGCTCTGCACCCTGGTGCCATGGGCTCTCCATGCTAGGCGGGGAGGCAGGGTGAAGCCTGGGTGTCCACGGGGCAGCCTGGTTCTGACCCGCTGCCTGTTGGTGTGAAGTGTAAGTGAAGATCAGAGCATGACGTCAGCTGCCGGGACTGGGAGCCCGGGGCCCTTTGTGGGCTGCTGGTTAGGCGCCCGTGTCGACAACAGGTGTTTGCTGAGCACCTGGTATGTGCCAAGCACTGCTTTAAGGGACGGGGCACCCAGCGGTGAGCACGACAGGTCAGTCTCTGCTCTGGGGGTCGCCTGTGCCAGAGGGGAGACACAGACGGACGGCAGCAAGGAGAGTGGGTGTGCCAGGGACTGTGGAGACACGGACGGGGTGGGGCAGCATGCCGTGACCCGAGCAGTGGCTGGGTGAGGGACAGTGACAGGCGGTGGCCCCACAGAGAGGTGAGCCGAAGGCAGAACCGGCAGGCCTACCCCTGCCCTCACTTTTCTTTAGTGGGGTCTCGGCATCTGGAAGGTAGTCACTGGGGCACTCGGAGTTGATAGCCCAGTACACACCGCCGGGCCTCGCAGGGACATTCCTCGTGTGCTCTTCTCAGCTTCCCACCCACAGGGAGAAGGAAACCTGCCCAGCATTTGCCCGCAGTGGCCTGTACGCAGATGACTCGCTGCCAGACGCTGGCTCTGCCCAGCTACCCAGCCCTCCCTCCCAACCCTGGGATAGCTCCCATCCTTCCCCCACCCCGCCTTACTCCCAGCCCAGCCCCCAGCCCGGCCCCCCATTGCTCCTCAGCTCGTCTCCTGCCTCACTGAGCACCCAGTGAGCCTCCCCGCACCTCCCTTGATCCGTGGGCTCATTCACTCCGACGTTTCCAGGGTCCGCCTTGTGCTCCTGGGCACGTGGCCCTCATGGAGCTTGTAGGTGGGAGACACCATGGAAAGAGAAACAGTATGTCGTTGGTTAGTGCCCATGAGGGGAGAGGGAGGAACACAGCAGAGGAGGGGCTCCACTTAAAGGCTGTGGCCAGGGAAGGCGCCCCAAGGGGGTGAGGTCTCGCAGTAAGCACCACCTGGGCGCTGGCCAGCTGCCGGAATATTGGGCGTATATTTTATCACCTGACGCGAGTCCTCACTTTCCACAGATGTGTCCTCATTAAGTCATGGGGCTGGGGGATGTGCTGTGTCTAAAAACAGGGCTCCCTGCGCCGGACCCGAGCTAAAACGTTCAGGCGCTTCTACTCTTCCTCAGGGATTTTGAACAGAATGTTGAATCTATGGAAAAGGGAAAGGAGTTCTGCGTGTGTTTTAGTTGTTGATTATAACTTTGACTATTACTTTATTATTATTATTATTTTTTTTTTTCTGCGCAGGAATTCGTCATACACTCTCCTGACTTCGAAGCTGCCAAATTCTGGGTTGGCAACATGGGCAAGACAGCTACCCATGCCGTGGTGTTTGCTCAGCTGTACACGCCGGGGGGGCAGTGCCACGGCCCGCACTCCTTCGTGGTGCAGGTGAGTGGTCCCGGCCGGGTGGCCTCGGCCATGGACGCGCAGCACCATCCAGAAGCGCCTTCATGGCTGCGGGGGGCGGGGGCGCTCCTAGCTCCTAGAGAGCACAGACCAAGGGAAAGGAGAACCCCCTGGCGTGCACAGGACAGCCCACCCGCCCCCAAGAGGGGAAGATCCAGCCCCCATTGTCAGGGGTGCTGGGGTCGATCAACCCGGGCTAGACCCAGGGTCACCCGAGGGAGAGACTTTCCGTCCCTCTGGTGACCATGTCGCCATGTTTTCAGCCGCTCATCACAAACCTGGGCTTGCCAGCCCCACCGTCCTGTGGTTCTGCCCAGCAGGTATGAGGTGGGTTCCAGTGCTGACGTGAAGTCCGACTCGGGGGCCTAGATGGAGCCTGTTCCCGGGTCACAAGCAGGAAGCTACCACCAAGGGGTGCCCGGGACTGACGGCCAGGCCAGGGCTCCTGGCGTCCCTGGTGGGGCCCGTTTCCTGACTGCTCAGGGCTGCTGCAGTGTCCTTGAACCCCAAGCTTCCAGAAGCTTGTCCAGGACCTTTCTGCCTTGGCCAACTGGATACTGAATGGGAGCCCCGCTTCCCCCCACCCCGACCCCATTCCGGCATTTCTGTTAGGATCTTTCTGGTGAGGGGCTCTCGCGAGAGAAGAAAGTCAGTCACATCCTTTTTTTTTTTTTCATTATTGAGGGAAATTCATACAACATACAATGAACCATTTTGAAGTGAACAGTTCGGTGGTATTTGGTTCAGTTCAGCTTTTCTAGTGCTGTCTCTTGTTCCAAAATATTTCCATGTCTAGGGGAACACCCCGTACCCACGCTCACTCCCGACTCCCCCCCCCCCCCCCCCCCCCCGCCCCCAGCCCCTGGCAACTGCTAATCTGCTCTCTGCCTCTGTGGGTTTACCTGCTGGACATTTCACGTGGAAGGAATCCTACAGCACGACCTTTCCTGTCTTGCTGCGTTCATGTAGTATGGTTTTGAAGTCCACCCATACCATAGCAGGTGCCGGAATTTCCTTACTTTTTCAGGCTGAATGATCCACTGTATGGATTGGATCACAATGTGTGTATCCACTTGCCTCCTGATGGACGCTCAGGTGGTTTTCACCTTTTGGCTGCCGTGAACAGTGCTGTGAGCGCTCACGGGCAGGGGTCTGTTTGAACCCCTGTTTCCGTTCTTCTGGGTAGACGCCCAGGAGCGGACTTGCTGAGTCCTATGGTGATGCGGTGCTTAACTTTTTGAGGAATTGCCATACAGCTTTCCACACTTCCCACCAATTTGTATTCTCATCTGCGGTGTATGAGGGTCCCAGGTCCTTCAGAACCTCCCTGATACATATTTTCCTTTTTGTTAAATAAGCACACTGGTGGGCATGAGTTGGTATTTGTTGTGCTTTTGGTTTGCATTTTCGTAATGACCTATGACGTTGAGCTGCTCTTCATGTGCCGGTTGGCCGCTCGTGTATTTTCTTTGGAGAAATGTCTGTTCAAGTCCTTTGCCCTATGGAACTACGCTAAGCCCACCCCCACTCCCCTACCCAAGGGAAAGGCAAAGGCTGTTTGCCCAGAGCTGGCTGAAGCAGGGGGGCGGCCACCATCCCTCGGGAGTCTGGGGCAGTCCTGAGCCTGGTCAGGGGATCGGGCTGGGCTTCGTCAGGTTGGTCCTAGGCTGGTTAGCAGGACAGAAACGAGGGACGCTGACAGTCACCGATCGAGCCCTGGCCTGTTGCCACTGGGTGCTTGCTTGCCTTCCTGCACCGCTCGCTGTGGGCTGTGGCTCACGGTCCTCCCGTCGCGTGGCCAGGCTGTCGTCCATCAGTGCCTCTCCATCCAGCTCTGAATCGGGTGGTTTGTCTTCTTACTGTTGAGTTCTGAGAGCTCTTCACGTGTCCCGGAGACTCAACCCTCATCCGATAGATGATTTTCTCTCATTCCGTAGGTTGTCTTTCTGTTTTCTTGTTTGTGTCCTTCAAGGCACGAAGGGTTTTAATTTCAGTGAAGTCTGGTTGGTCCCTTTCCGCCTTGTTGCTCGTGTCCTTATCTTCAGTTCACATTTGAGCCGCTGAAGCCCAAATGTCGCTTTTCATGACCTCCGGCCGCCATGCACTGCTTCTGTGAGTACAGGCTTGTACCTGAAGTGAACTTCTTGTGGAGACTGGGCTAGCATTCACTTTGTTCAGAGTTTCCGGCCCTTTAGTCGAGAGATCCGTGGTGTTTCACTCTCCGGCGGGACCGTGTCGCCCCTCCATCCAGCAGGACATTTCTGCGTGCCTAGCGTGCGCCAAGCGAGGGCTCGTGGGTGGTGTGTGTCCCCGTCCTCGTTGAGGAGAGCGTGAAACGAGGACTCACCAGAGTCAGAGATGCGACGCATGCTACGGGTCGTAGCCGATCTGGTGGAGGGCTGTGATTTTTCACAGGTTTGTTTGCTCAGGTCAGGTTGGCAGACCTCACAAATTGTAAATGGACACGGTCACATTTATTTGTGGTAAGTATGATGTTAACGAGTTCCGCTTTGGGCATTGGTCCGCTCCCTTCCCTTGACTGGGAGGTTAGTTCGGGATTTGTGGCAACTGCATGGTCATCGATTTCCACGTGAACCGGGACTTGCCCCCACTGTTCCTCTCTGCAATTCCTCGAAAAGCGCCAACCTGTTTTCTTTCAGTGCGTCTTCTCTCCACATGCACTTCCTTTCCAACTTTGTTTTTTTTTTTTAATTTCAAAATGTTATGAAAAGTTAGCATCCGAATCTTCACTGGGGCTTACTGAAAGATGAGGAAGGGGGAAAGAGCATTTATGTTTGGACTTTGTTTTTATCTGAAATACCATTATCGTGACATTCAATCAAATCAGATGGTTGTTCCACCAAAATAAACGAAAGCAAGCAATTCTGCAAATAGCTAAACTTCCAATAGCACAAACTCACTGTTTCCTTAAAGCAGAGTTTCTTGCCCTGTGCCATGGACCTTTGAGCTGGGTGAGCCTCTTGTGGGGCCGAGCCGTGCACGGTGGGCATGTTCCACCCGCTGTGTGCCCAGGGTGCCCTCCAGTACGGACAGCCAGAGGGTCTCAGACGGGACACCCAGCCCCAGCGGCAAGGGGCGGTGTGGGCTCACACCTGGCTGGGAGTTGCTGCCGTACCGCTGGTCTCGGGTGCGGCCCCGTGTCCCTGGCGTAGCACTCCCACGGCCAGGAACCATCCACTAGCTACATCTGTAGGGTCTGGGAAAGTATATTCATGGAAACCCGCTTAGGGAGCAGAGATCTACAGGACTATTCTCAGGCTCTGTCTCCTCCCGCACGCGCCCCGGCCCGGCGGCAGCCTGGCGCGTAAACCCGAGGCCGCAGTGGCCCAGCACCGCAGAGCTGGGGGCCGGGCATCTGACACCAGTGTGGGCAGCCCCCACCCCCCGCCCCGCGCCCCCAGGCTCCAGGGGGCAGTGCAGCCCCTGGTGGCCGCCAAGTCACTGGGCCTGTGGCCGCCTCTTCTCTCTTATAGGACACTTGTCATTGGATTTGGGGCCCACCTGGGTCATTTGGGAGGACCTCATCTCCAGATCCTTCGCTTAATTACGGTTGCGAAGACCCTAGCTCCAAATAAGGTCACGTTTTTGAGGACAGTTTCCCCCACAGATATAGGAAGGGAGTCTGGGGCTCAGTCACTGAGGGTTTTTAACACATTGCTTTTCATTTCCGTGAGGTCCTAATGGTTGCCTTTCGTTGTTTTCTGTGCATTGTGCAGATTCGGAACCCCAAGACCCTTCTTCCCATGCCAGGGGTGATGGTTGGTGACATCGGGAAGAAGCTGGGGCTGAACGGTGTGGACAACGGGTGAGTGTATGCCCTGACCTCATGGTCACAGTGTTCTCTGTGGGGTCGCTACTCAAGGCTGCTGGCTCAGGACATAGATGCCCGCTGATGTCAGCCCTTGGGCCGTCCAGGTCCCTCAGCGCTGTCCCCGGCCCTCCTAGACACCCGTGGGGTGCACGCCTCCCCTGCCCCTTGGAGCTGTGTCTCACACACCCTGCATCACATACCCCGTGTCTCACCCACATCGTGTCACGCACAACCCCGCATCACACCCTGTGTCTCACATACCCCACATCACACACACTTGTGTGACACACACGCCCCTCGTCACAACCCTGCATCACCCACCCCTGTGTCACCCTCCCTGTGTCTCACGTACATTGTTTCACACATGCCGTGTTACACAAAGACACCATGTCGCACGCCGGGTCTCACACACACCCACTGGCCTGGCCACCATCTGACTGTTTCTGGAACAGCTCAAAAGAGGTATGTGAAGTTTTGCTTTCAGTTAAACTCGAGGGCGTATTTTCACAAGTATAAATACATTCAGACTTGTCCTATCTCCGTGTGGCAAGAACGGGTGAGGATTTTCCATTCCTTAAAAAGGGCACTTTGAGTTTACAGAGTTGTGCTTGAGAAAGCATTCCTCAGCTTTCAAGTAAGAAGTTGGAACACTCCAGGGGTGCTGGCACCCAGGCTGTTCTTAAAAAGTGGCTATCTGAACTCACTGCCTGGGGAGCCTCTACTGCGCCGGTCGGAGCGGCCCCACGGAGGCCCAGGCGCAGCGGCCGCTCCTGGGCAGGGCCTCAGATGCTCCCAGCGGGGCCCGCAGAGGAGCTGGTCTATAGCTGACCTTTGTTTCAGACTTGGGAGGGCCACCTGCAGAGGTTGGCCTCTTGCCTGGATGCTGGCAGGGGCCTGGCGGCCGGCCGGCATTCCTCACCTGCAGATCCTCTAGATGCTTTCCAAGGAATTTGGGAGGGGCTACTCCAGCCCGCCCTGCGCCCAGCCCTGGGTCTCTGCTCTTCCCTGGGGGTCCTGGACGGTGCGCTGCATCTTTCCTCCAAGGCTGGCCCGGACCCAGGGTATGGTGGAGAGATCAGTGATACCCAGGGGACAGCGTCTCACCCGCTGTCCACCCACTGCACGGCTCTTAGTAAGCATCTTCCAGGTGTCAGGCCCAATGGCCCCACTGTAAACGGGTCAGTGAGATCCACAGAAACTGCCAAGGAGAAGGAGGTGGCTCAGTGAGAACGTGGACAGTGGGCCGTTGCCACAGAATGAGCCACCCTGTAGTGGTGCCTGGGGGCCACCAGTACCTGCTGCAGGCCGAGTGAGAGGAGAATCGCGATGGGCCTCTGAGGAGGTGGTGGCGCTCTGAGGGCTGCCTGCGCAGGGATCACGGGAGAGCCGGGCCTGTTGAGGGCCACGGCAGGTGCCACGTGGCTGGAGGCAGGGAGGGCGGTGGGGCTGGGGGTCGAAGGGATTTGTGCAAGGGTCACCACTCCGATCAGCGGTTTGGGAAGGCTACTGTGCGGGACAGGCCGAAGAGCTGTGTCTGCAAAGAGCCCAGGGGTGATTGTCGCAGCGAGCCGGACCAGAGGCGGTGGGGGCTGAATGAACACGGATGGGGGGGGGGTCAGGACCCTCCTCGGGCAGAGCTGACACCCGCTCTGATGGGGTGCTTGGCCCCATCTTGGGGGTGACCGCAATTGGAGCAGGAGCTGGTGTGAGCAAAGAGGGGTGCTCCCCTCTCGGGCTTGGTGACGCTGTGCTCTCAACCGTGGCCTCCTGTGGGCCAGAAGAACATTCTGGATGACATTGAAAGTGCTCTTGGTAATCAGATGAGTTGCTGTGGGAACTGTCAATATTCTTTAACAGTATTTTTTTTTTATTCTTATGTTAATCCCCATACATTACATCATTAGTTCTAGATGAAGTGTTCCATGATTCATTGTTTGTGCACAACACCCAGTGCTCCATGCAGAACGTGCCCTCTTTAATACCCATCACCAGGCTAACCTATCCCCCCCACCCCCTCCCCTCTAGAACCCTCAGTTTGTTTCTCAGAGTCCATCATCTCTCATGTTCGTCTACCCCTCCGATTTCCCCCGCTTCATTCTTCCCCTCCCGCTACCTTCTTCTTTTTTTTTTCTTAACATATATTGCATTATTTGTTTCAGAGGTGGGAACTGTCAATATTCTTAAGATGGTTTGGGGTTTTTGCTCAGTTTATGTAGCATCCATTCCTTTGTATGCTCCTTTGACCCTTGTCCCTGAGACTGTTGTGAAAAAGTTTTCCCAACCTGACAACCCTAACAAATATCTTTGATTACTAATGCACAAGAGATCTATAACGACGTGTGAGTGAGCCTCTAGTCTTCTTAGCTTTTCAAAAGAAACGAGTCTATGTGCCCTCGGAGCATGGATACGGTAACACCGTTCTTTTGTTGGACGTGAGAGTTTTCAAACCTCAGTTTGCTAGTTTTTCACATCGTATTGTGGATCCTGGTATGAGACCGAAGGGTGAGAACCAAGGATTCTGATCTTTAAAGCAATCAGTTCCCCCCTTTTCTTTTTTTTTTTTTAAAGATTTTATTTATTTATTCATGAGAGACAGAGAGAGAGACAGAGGCAGAGGGAGAAGCAGGCTCCCCGCAGAGCAGGGAGCCCGATGCGGGACTCGATCCCAGGACCCTGGGATCATGACCTGAGCTGAAGGCAGACGCTTAACTGACTGAGCCACCCAGGCGTGCCCCCCCCCCCCTTTCTGTTGACTCCTCACCTTAGCCCCGGTGGCGTAAGGCACCTGGCCCCGTGGTTACCAGTACACGGCCATTTGCTTCCGCACAGAGCCCCGCCACATGCACGCCACATTGTTTTCCTGAACCTACTTTTTAGATAGAAAAATGTGTTGAAATTTCCTATCTCTGGTGCCTTCTCCCATTTTCTTTCTTTGGGGGGGGATTGTCGCCGTTTTAGCTTTCCTTTGCTTTTCTTTGACTGGCTTTCTCGGGGGAGAGAAGTGAAGCCCCAGGGCCAGAGCCCTGTTTAACCAGAAGTCCTGCCATATCTGCACAGATTTGCCATGTTCCACAAGGTTCGAATTCCTCGCCAAGACCTCCTGAACCGGATTGGAGACGTCACCCCTGAGGGTACCTACGTCACCCCCTTTAAGGTACAGGTATCTCCAGCTAGGGAAGTTCGTGGGTAGAAAGTGCGGCACAGGACACTCCCTGGGCTTGCCTGGAGACCCACTGCCTGTGCTCGGCTGGCCGGGGGCAGACCTGTCTTGGTTCAGGCGGCAGTGCCACCAACAAGGAAGGTGGCATTTGGGGTCGGCTGCACCCCCAGGGTCCTGGGCAAGATGACAAGACACTGGCCGACAACTGCCCATGGATGTCCACTCCTCTGCCCACCCCCCAGTTCTCCAGGGTTAGTTAGGGAGGCTGCCCCTTGCTGGTGCTGTTTCCCCCAAAGGGCTTAAGGACGTAGGTTGCGTGGTGGACCATCCCAAGTGGGGGTGACCGTGTTCTCTGGTGTCTGGGGCTCACTGCATCCCTAAATTCTTTTTTTTTTTTTAAGATTTTATTTATTTATTTGAGAGAGAGAGAGAGAGCACATGAGAGGGGGTAGGGTCAGAGGGAGAAGCAGACTCCCTGCTGAGCAGGGAGCCCGATGCGGGACTCAATCCAGGGACTCCAGGATCATGACCTGAGCCGAAGGCAGTTGCTTAACCAACTGAGCCACCCAGGCGCCCTGCATCCCTAAATTCTTTTGAGGGGTAGACACACACGATGGCCATGGCCCACGTTGGAGCAGGTCCTGAGCTCACAGCTGGGTTGGCCATGTCCCCAGGAGCACATGAGCCTCAGAGGACTCTGTCCGACGCCATGCACCACCTGACTGGAGCTGGAACAGCAGGGTTGGAAGCAAGCATGCTAGGGACACTAGGGATGAGGAGAGAAGTCAGCAACATGCAGCCCGAGTCTCTTCCCACTGGGAATAGTCGCCATTCGTTAGAAGCTGGTAGGAAAATGAGGGAGCGGAAGGCACACGATAGAGGGGATGAGCGTAGCGGGGGTCAGGCTGGAGGCTGGAAAGCCCGAGTGAGGGGTCCGCACAGGCACAGGAGAGGCTGAAGCGGAGTGAGGGCAGGGGAAGGCAGCAGCAAGGATGAGGAAAGTCTCACGAAGGAAGGGAAAAGGACCCGATGGAGGGCCCGTGGAGCGCTGTAGAGAAATGACAACATTCCACAGAGAAACTCTGAGATCGTCCAGAGAGGGGTGCGGCTCAGACTCCCCGGGGTGTTGCTCCCTGAGCCTTCAGATTCCCCAGCGATGATGCAGCACGACGTCGTGGCCGCGTGGCGGCGTCGGAACTGGTGTCCGGCCTTCGCAAGGTTGCCGCACGGGTACCGCAGGGCATGTAACTTGGGAAGAAAAGTCCAGTTAATAAGAGAAATGAAGGCAGGAGAGGCGGCAAGAGGTGAGGGAGGCCAGGATGGCCGCCGCCGCCGCGGAGAAGCACGCCCGGCGTGAGAACACAGCCAGTGACCGTCACCGCCCTTGGAAGGTTGTCTTCCACGGGGAGGGAGGAATTCCGGGGCGCGGGGGCGCGGGAACGGGACGTTGGCAGCGGCGGCGGCACCTCGGCCCGGGGCCCCCGTGCCCTGAGTGCGGCCAGGGGTGGACTCGTGCAGGCCGGTCCCCTCTGTCCTCCGTCGCCGGCCACAGCTCAGACCCCCGCAGCGCTGCAGCTCGGCCTGCCCCACCGCCCTGGCCTGGGGCCCTGGGTCGGGGGCGCCCCGGGGACGGGCCTGGCAGCCGAGCCCTGTGGCCGCTGCAGGAGTGATCCGGCCCCACCTCCCTGTGCTCCTGTCCCTGAGGCCGCCCGGCCGCCCGGCGCACGATCACCACGCACCTTTCTTCCACAGGACGACCGGCAGCGCTTCGGAGCGTCCCTGGGCACCTTGTCCTTGGGCCGGGTCGCCATTGTGGGCATGGCCATCGTGAACTTAAAGCTGGCCGTCTCCATCGCGCTTCGTTTCTCAGCCACTCGGTGTCAGTTTGGGCCCTCGGACGGGGAGGAGGTACGAGTGCTGGAGTATCAGACGCAGGTACGGCTTTGCACGTCCCGCTGCCACGCCCGTCCGCCGAGCAGCCGCCGGGCAGCCGGGCGCAGGCTTCTCGTCCGTGGCCAAAATAAGGGCCTCGAGGAAGCACGTTCTGCTGAGGCGCTCGCTCCGTGTGTGTGTGAGCACGCTGCAGCCTCGTGGTGGCCTCGCATGCCCGCGGCCACGCGCTTCAATCGCTCAGAATGGCCCTGAGACGTGACCTTCGTGGGAATCACCGGCCCCAGCAGCTGGGCCTTCAGGCTGTCCGTTGTGACGTCACTCAGAGTAGCAGGAGGGACACTCCGTCCTGCCGGTCCTCAGGGGACAGGCCCCTGGGATGGCAGAGGGGGGCCCAGGCGGCAACACCGAGAAGCTGCTTAGCTCCCGGCAAAGGGAGATACATTCTGTCCCAGGGGATGCTCATGGTGCTTATATGCTACCAACCTTTCATCCCACGCCTGGCCTTCACACTTCCTGGACTTGAACACTTCCCGATACTCCTTCCACCCTGCCTGGCCTGCACACTCTTCACACGTTTGGCCTTCAAATTTCCGCACACATGTTGGTCTTCACACTAACTCACATCCTTGGCCTTTATGACTTCCTCACGTGCCTTTTTCACACACCTGGCCTTCAGCCCTTCCTTCCACACCTGGGCTTCAGGATTTCTTCACACACCTGGCCTTCACACCTCCTCACACGCTTGGCTTTCACCAGGTGGGCTGGGGTTGCTGTTCCCAGTTCATGGTGGCGAGGGGGCATTGAGGGTCGAACGGGGTTCCTGTCTGAGTTCAGTCGCAAGTCTGGCCCGCTTTTGGGCCGAGCTCTGTGTAGGCACAGGTGCGTTCGAGTGAGAGCTTGAGGGAATCGTAACAGAATCCCAGTTTTTTCTAACATTTCTCACCATGGTTGCCAGCCTGTTTTAATAATAAATGAGGAGAAGCAGATATCTGGTTCATGACTGTGGGGCACACATTGTCCCCTCCACCACAAAGCCCGTGGCCTTTGTGAGGTCAAGGCTGGCGCAGCGGTCAGAGAGCCCCCTGCAGCCACGTGCTTGGGCTCCTGACCCCGCTCCACCCTCCTGTCTGTGCGCCCTTGGGCGAGGTACCTCACCTCTCTGTGTTCTGGCTACCTTGTTAATAAACTAGAGCTGATAATACCTGCTTATGGGCTGGTTGTGAGGATTAAATACATTAGTCCATGGAAAGCAGCCCGCAGGGTGTCTGGCCTTCAGCACGCAGTAAGCGATAGATGGTGGCGGTGGCGGTGGTGGCCGTGACAGCTTCCCGGGCCCTTGCCTGCTTTTTCCTCAACGCCCCTTCCATCCATGCAGCGGTGCATGTGCAAGAGACCGCCCCCCTGCCTTCGGGGGACTTCCAGCTCCCTGCGAGCCTCAGTTTCCCCATCTGGCTGAGGGGTGACTGCCTGAGCCCTGGTAGGCACAGGAAGCACAAGCTATCACCCGTCCCGCCCCGCGTGCCTGCGCGGTAGGCTGGTTTCCTTAGTCGGAGGTGGGCTGACAGGCCCCAGGAATCCGTGTGCGGAGACGGTGAGCGCGGTGCGCAGAAGGCAGCGCCCCTGGGTGAGAGCCGGGCAGGGGCCGGACCGGCTGGGTCGCAGAAGGCGGCGCCCCTGGGTGAGAGCCGGGCAGGGGTCGGACCGGCTGGGTCGCAGAAGGCGGCGCCCCTGGGTGAGAGCCGGGCAGGGGTCGGACCGGCTGGGTCGGAAGCGCGTCAGGTGGAGGGCCTTCCCGTTCCATGCATCCTGCTGTTCCTGACCTGTTGCCCTGGTCTCTCCTGGGGCCTCACAGCCAGCGGCCCTCTGGAGGGCTTCTCTGCAGGGTGGGGGAGGCTGTTCTCCGCGGGGGCGGGGTGGGCTTCCCGCCAGGACGTGTGATGTGTTAACGCGAGCGTCTTCTTGCCTGTAGCAATGGCGCTTGCTTCCCTATCTGGCCGCCGCCTATGCCTTAGACCACTTCTCCAAATCGCTCTTCCTGGACTTGGCAGAGCTGCAGCAAGGCCTCATGGGGACAGACCAAGGCGCCAGGCAGGTGAGAGGTGATGCTCTTTGCTCCGCAGGTTTGTTGTTATTAACTCTCACCGAGGTCGAACAGCACTGACTCAGCCTGTCTTTCCTAACAACGTCTGTCCATCCGTGGCGGCCCTGTGGGGTTCTGAGCGGCTCCTAGCTGTGGCCGCCCGCTCAGGCCTCTTGGAATCCTCACTGGGATTTGGACAGTTTGGGCACTGTCCATATTCCCGATCCTCAAGGATGTGCTGACATGACTCCGATTCCAGCCTGTGAGTTCAGCTGTCCTCCTCCTTTTGAGAACATGATGATTTTGCAGAATCCGCATTACTGGCCCCTCAGTAGATTTCATGGTTCTGATCCTTTCGTAAACAACCCTGTAAAGGTCTGAACCCAGCTGACGGGATTGGAATTGACAGTCAAGGATTTATGCCAGAAATGAGCGTCCACTGAGCTCAGCCGCTGTGTAAAGTCATCCTTGGCTGATCTCTGCGTCAACGGTTTATAACCGCCTTTCCATGGCCCCTCGCATTGCCTCCTGGGTGTGAGTAAAATGTGAATCACGAGGAACGCATTTGAAAACAGATTAGAAATACTGCAGATCGGTCTTATGTACAACACCCTAAAAAGCCTGTATCAAATTAGCACATTTTGGAATATTCAGCACAAACATCCAGGAGTAGGGAGGCGGTGGGGGGTGTGGAGACGGCCAGCAGGGTGCACTGCTCAGCAAGGCACGGTCCCTGGGAATGCAAGGATTAAACATGTTTTTCCCCAGCATGAGTCACCGAAAGTTTTGCCAGCTGACATTGGAATCGTTCTCCTGTTAATAATGTTATAAAGTGTAAGCATGCTTTATTCTCTCTGAAACTCAGGGGTTTCACTGAAGCACCTAAAAGTGGCCCTTAGTTCAAGTTGAAAACACTGGTAAAAGGGATCATCCTATTTAGCAGACGTGTTTGTCTCTTTCTCTTAATTATTTCTACTAAACGTTAGGTAGAAGCAAAAGGATATCTATAAGACGCATAAGGCCCGGAGACGCTGGCTGGGGAGAGCCTTGCAGAGTTGACTGGAAATCGCCATCCCCTGCACAGTCTCCTGGGAACCGGTCCCCTCCCGCCCCCCTCCTTGGAGGGGAGCCCCGTCTCCACCTCCTGTGTGGTTTCTTGCTTTTCTTTCTGCCACAGCATATTGCTTGGTTTTGGGTTCGGGAGCATCTCATAAACCGAGGCAAAACGCACTCGTTGCTTCTGTGCTCTGCATCTGTGATCATCCTTACGCCCCTGGTGTTTATTCACTGCACAGAGTTCAGGTCCATCCGTTTTCATGGCTCTGAAACCATTTGTAACACAGTGTATCCCCTCTGAGATGAATCTCCCCTTTTCAGCTAAAATTGGGTTTCTTTCTTTTTCCTGCAGTTGTCGGGTGTCTTGGATTAGACTAGAGGGGACACAAGCCTTTGACGCTAGGGGTGAAGTGACCCCTGACCTCTGGTGTCAGAGCCTCTTTTCACCTGGTCTTGTTGGATTTCCTCTCCCAAGGCAGAGCTCGGACGTGAGATCCACGCCTTGGCATCGGCGGGCAAGCCCCTGGCCTCGTGGACCGCCCAGCGGGGAATTCAGGAATGCCGGGAGGCGTGCGGAGGACATGGCTATCTGGCCGGTAGGTTTGGAAGTGTGTGATGGTTTTCTGCCCGTAGCCCTACTTTTGACTCAAGGGGTCAGCAAGCTACCGCCTGTGGGCCGAAGTTAGCCACCGCTGGTTTTTGCGAATAAAGTTTTATTGGAACATGGCCACGCCCATTCGTTCATGCATTTTCTGTGGCCGTGTTTGCATGACACCCGGGTTGAGTCGTCTCTGTCAAGCCTAAAATGTTCACTGGCTGGCCTTTCCCAAAGCAGCTTTGCCGACCCCCTGGCCTAGACAGACACCTCCACTTGCTGCTGCCCCTGTTCCTTGGTCTCCCGAGGTTCCCCGCAGGGTAGGCAGCTCCCCTGGAGTGTCCGTCAGTGACCCCCACGCCGGGGAGCAGTGGGGAGGCCGTGTGAAGGAGCCCGCCAAAACCCCAGCAGAGAGTGGATAATCTGGGGGCGCCTGGGTGGCTCAGTCGTTAAGCGTCTGCCTTTGGCTCAGGTCATGGTCCCAGGGTCCTGGGATCGAGCCCCACGTCGGGCTCTCTGCTCAGCGGGAAGCCTGCTTCTCCCTCTCCCACTCCCCCTGCTTATGTTTCCTCTCTCGCTGTCTCTCTCTCTGTCAAATGAATAAATAAAATCTTTAAAAAAAAAAAAAAAAAAGAAAGTGGATAATCTGTTCTTTAGAATTGTCACTCTTTGCTTAATGACTTGGCAGTAATCTGGCACCAAGTTTTGTCCTGGTGAAAAATTCTTAAACTTAGAGTAAGGGAGTTGGTTTTTACTGGCATTGGCCTTGTTTGGGCAGCTGGTGTGTGGCTGAGAGAGTGGGCAGCGGACGGCCTGGGACGAGCTTCTGCTCTGATGCCCGCTAGCCACGCGACTGGGCCAGCTAGCCAGCCTCGCGGGCCTCAGTGTCCTTATCTGTAACATGGGGACGATCACAGTGTGTACCAACACAGTTCCTGCCGTGGTCACGTGAGTCGGCACGGCGTGGGGCGTGTGGCACGTCGCGTAGCCAGTGGCTTCTATCTGAGGCTGTTGTTGGAGCTCTTAGTACCGCTGCAGTTGCCGCTGTTACTCGTGAGCGTCCCGTGTGCCGATGTTCAGTGACTGGCAAAATCTAGTTAGCCCAAGCAGGCCACCAGGCGCTCCAGACAGCAGGATCGGCAGAAACCTTGTTTTCAGTTGACAGTGCACACGCATTTTAGGCTCTTGCCAACTTGGACCATCTCGGTGGTGGTCTGTGGTAAGTACGTGCTTTCAGCGAGGACCCGCCCCAGGTTCTTGTCGTGCGGGCGGCTCCCGCCACGCTGCCTCCCCGTTACCCACGGACCAACGGGAGACCGTGGCTGCGCGCAAGGCACTTACATGTCGCGTCCTCTGTGCAACGTTCTGTACTTTCTGTTTGTTGTCACGGCTCAGAGAGACGCTATAAATAGTTCGCCTTATTGGGCTTTAAGGAGATAATGAAATGGAATCGGGCAGCCCCGCACACAACACGAACACCCGAGTCAGCTGTCGTGGGTCCAATGGGGGGCTGAAACCAGCAAGGCCAAGCTCAGTGGGGTGGATGGGACGGGCCTGGTCCAGGTTCAGTATCAGTTGCGAGTTGTTTGTTAGTGGTCACGCCCAGCTGCTTCGGTAGAGTGGTCTGTGGCAGGGGGCAGCAGGTCGGTGGGGGGAAACGATCAGTGTGTCCCAGGTGACCACAAGCCCCATGGCTGCTGCAGAACATCTCACACCCTCTCGGGCCCTGTACCCAGCAGCGTGTGAGCATGGGAATCCCACTCCTCTAACCTCTGGCTCGTCCTGTCCCACCCAGCCTCACATGTGGAGAACATTCTCCATCAGAGGAAGGAGACCCAGATGAGAGGGTCTAGACAGTGTACCTTATAAAGTATGTGCAGGAATCAGGTCCCTTCACTGGCAGGAGAGACAACAGAAGAAAACTGAGAGTTGTCTTGAGATAGTTGAAATTTCTTTCTTTTTTTTTTTTTTTGAGATTTATTTATTTATTTTGAGAGCGAGCGAGCAAGAGAATGTGCACAAGCAGGAGGGGCAGAGGGAGGAGAGAGACAATCCCAAGCAGACTCTGTGCTGAGCGTGGAGCCCGAGGCGGGGCTCGATCTCATAACGTGAGATCGTGATCTGAGCTGAAATCTAGAGTCCGATGCTCAACCGATGGTGCCACCCAGGCGCCCTGAGATATTTGAAATTTCTTGTGTAAAAAGATGGGTTCCCCGCAGGGTAGGCAGCTCCCCTGGAGCGTCCGTCAGTGACCCCCACACCGGGGCTCTGGCAGCTGACCGCACAAGGCTCAGTGTCCGCAGGGGAGAGGGATATGCTAGCAACCCAGGGCATTTCTCGAGCCGGCGCCGCGGGCCTCACGGGCTCAGCTGCGTGGCTACTCGTGTCTCCTTGAAGACGGAGCAGCTGGGTGAGAGGCTGGGAGGACCCAGCCAGGGAGGAGGTGTGGTTGGGCCCGGGCAGCCTGGGAGTGCTGTGTCTCCGTCAGGCCGGCCGGGACATTGGGGTTCCCCCAGGGAGCGGCGGGGTCTCTGCCCTGCACGCACACTTGAAGTGACAAAGCACGCGGCTTCATTGCAGTGAACCGCCTGGGTGACCTCAGGAACGACAACGACCCCAACTGCACGTATGAGGGGGACAACAACATCCTGCTGCAGCAGACCAGCAGCTATCTGCTCAGCCTGCTGGCACGCCACGTCCAAGGTGAGGCCCCACCTGGCTCACGCAGGCAAGCCGTCCCAGCCCTGCCGAGGGAGCTCGCCCCACAAGGCCCCTGTGTCTGCGGGAAGGAAATGTGTTACGAAACATGACTGACCAGCTCCCGGGGTGCTCTGGTCACTCCGGGTCCTGGGTGTGCTTGTAGGTGGCGCTCACTTCCAGAGCCCTCTGAGGACTTTGGACTTCCTGCAAGCCTATCCCGATATCCTTGGCCAGAGGTTCACATGCCCCGGCGTCGACAGCTGCCTGGACTCCTCAGGTGAGCATGCCGTCTCCCCGTTTCCCTCCCGTCGTGATCCCTGGGGCCCACTGTGCAGCAGGGGTTCATCCAGCGCCTCCCTGGGCGTGATGCTGAGTCAGGCGCTGACTCTCCCTAAGGATGAAGAGGGAGAGGCTCTGGGTCCTATCCCTGCCTCGCTGGGTGGCAGGGCCCGTGACTGAGCTGTCTTCACAGGAACCCGGGGCCCTCCTGCTCAGGGCCTTTGCACATGCCAGCCTCACTGGCCTCACTTCTGTGGCCCCCGCCCTGCGGCACGTTCACCGTTCTCAGCCCCAAACAGGCTCAGCTGCAGTCAGCACTGGGCTCCATGCTCATCGCGCTTGGCCGTGATTGTTGAGCGCCTAACCCTAACCGTGGGATACCCGCCGCCATGCACGGGGGGAACGGCAGAGACCCCGCTTCTCCCCCACGGGGTCTATCCTCAGAGAAATGAGCGTGGGCCGTAGGCAGCACACGACAAGCAAATGCGTTTTCAATGCAGAATGTACTCGATCTACAGACGGCACGTGCCCTTATGCTGGTCGCCCCTTTGATCTACAAGTATCAGTGTGCAACCTGGCTGGGAGGCAGAGCCCGCGAGACCCAGGTTCCCGCTCTCACGCAGCTTTGCAGTCCAATGGGGGCGGGCCTGGTGCAGGGAGCAGGGGCTGTGTGGCGGTGGCCCGCGCGGGACAGCCTGTCTGGGGTCTCAGTGACAAGGACGCGGTGGCCACAGGGGCGCCGTGGGAGGGATGTACCCGCTGGGGTGCACCTGTCGTCCAGGGCCATGGGAAGCACTTGACTCTGAGCAAGAGAGCTGCTCACCGACTTGGGTCTGTGTGTTCGTTGTGACGATTCACTCTCAAATGTTACTCTGGAGAAAAGGCCACTCCGGCAGCTGTGGGAACAGAGGGACACGGCAGGAGAGGGTGTCCTGGACTGGGTGGTGGCGGCAGCGGCGGAGGGGGCGGACCAGCTCCGCCAGGACTCGGGTGGAGCAGCCCCAGCAGCGGGGGCCTGCTGAGGCACCGGTCCCATCCCGGGTCACCTCCCGCTGCCACTGCCCTGGCGCCCGGGCTCAGGGAGGTCCGGCAGCGCGTCCACAGTGCGAGCGCAGAGCCCGGGTCCGGCCGAGCCTGTTGTGCTCTGAAGCTCGGCGTCCTCCCCGACGGCCCCGGGAAGCCTCCTGATGCGCGCGGGGCTGAGACCTGCAGAAGGAGCAGGGACGGAGCTCCTGCCGAGCCTGCGCCCCCGCCTCCCCCGAGCACTTGGGGCCACAGCTGAAACGGCACTGGTCCGCCGTCCTCTGACCCGTGAGCACCGAGGCCCCGTGCTTCACGCGCCTGGGGGGCCGGGCAGGAGCTGCCCTCGTGCTGAGCCCCCCAGGGACCTGCCGGGAGAGCGAGGGGGCGCCCTTCCCCGCCTCGGCCTGCTGGCTGTGCCCGCTCCATCAGGCCCTCGGGACACGGGAGCTAACACTGTGGCGTGCTCAGCGCCGTGCCCGGTGCCGCCGGCCGCCGTCGTATGCACGACCACGCGTGCTCTCCTCGCCATCTCGGGAGTCTCGAGCACGCCCCTTGCTCCACCGAGGGCCTTTGGCACGGGAGGAGGGCACCTGGCCTTGCATCAGGAGACCCCAGAGCGAGTGTCCCCTGGGCCTGGGGGCCGCCGCCCACCCGCCCGTCAGGGGCCGAGAGCCCATGACATCACAGCATCAGCAACTGTGGGTGCTGAGGGCATCCGCCTCACTCTCCGCTCGGCCCTGCTGGGCCGCACACACCGCTCCCATCTTCCCGAGAGGAGACCGGGCCAGGTGGCACCGACCGGTCCACCCCAGTCCACGCCAGCAGTCAGAGCAAGAGTAGAACCCGGGCTGGGCGACGTCCCGGCCGCTTCCTCCCTCCTCATCGTCATCATCCGGGAAGTTTCTGCTCACAAGTGCTTTCTTTCTTGTTGGTTGCACATTTTGTCATGCCTTTCCTGACGATGACCACCTGGCAGGCCTTCACCTGCCTTCGTAAGGAAGCAGGACACACTTAAAGGTCTATTTCAGACGGTTTCAGAGCGCCCCAGCCAACAGTTGCTACAGAAAACACTAGAGAAAGAGCTCATGCTTCTCATAACATCAACCCAACCAGAATTTCTTTCCCTAAAACCATCACCCATTGTAAACCAAATAGTAAACAAGCGGTCTGGCGGCTTCTGGCCACGCCGGGCCCTCTGCTGCAGCCCCTCCCTCGCGGACTCCGTGCACGCGGGGCCCCCTCCTGCGCATTGCGCCTCTGCACCAGGACGCGTGCCAGGCCCCGTCATCTGTTTTTCCCGTGAGAGCCCTGGCTTTTGCAAGATCCAGCAAAGTGGAAACATCTTCTGGAGGAAAAAAATGGAACCAGAATTCATTTGGTGAAAGTGACACTGGGTGCTGACGTCACCGTCCACGCAGAGAGGGAGCCTGTGGTACGTGGCCAAGCCCCTCGGCTCCGGGGCCCGTGGTCCTCCCACCCCACATGTCAGCCCTGGCCACAGCCGGTGGGATCCGCAGTAAAGATTCCGTGAAATCTTTACGAGCCTCGCTCTCTGTAGGACCAGAGGCGCGGGACCTCGCGGGACCAAGCGTAGCCTGTCGGGAAGGTCCAAGAGTTTTCCTTCAGGGACAAGTCGTTTATCTGGGGGGAGGCCGGCACGGCTCGGGTCCTCGGATGTCTCTCTGCTTCCTCTGATTCACACACAGGCGTGCGTGCCGAGGACGGGCCTCACAAATGTTCCTGTGCATTTGAGGATCTGCACTGTCACTTGGCAATATGAGGCCCATTTGTTTTTCTCAAGTTGGCTGATTTGCAAAAATACTCAGTGATTGTGGCTCAGCGTACGAGGTTCCAACGGCCACATGTGTGTAAAGCAGTGGGCTCACGTCGCAATCCGTGATTCCGTGGGGCCCCGTGGTGCAGTCATGGGACCTCAGGCTCCGGAGTCGGCGTGACCTAGGGCTGGATACTTCACCTCTCCGAGCCTCAGTTTCCCTGTAGGACACGGGGGGATGTGGTCATCCCCATGCTGAGCCTAGTAGGGCCTGGGCTGTGTTTCACTCGTGCGGGGGGCTGGGGGCCGCCGGGGCGCCGCTCTGAGCACCCCTGTGGGTGCAGCACAGCCTAGCTGTTTCCCCAGCAGCCGGCTCCCTGGCGGCCTTGCACCTTTACAGGAGGTCGTGTGGGGACATCCAGCCACACAAGAGTGCTAGGGTGTGGGAACACAGACAGACAGCAGGCAACACCCAGACCTGCGCCGTGCCAGCCAGGGAGCTGGGGCCAGTCATCCACGCCTTGCTTTCTGGGCACGCCAAGGTCAGAGCCCCGCTTCAGAAGGGGAGATCAGCCAGGAAATGGGGACCCAGGCAGAGGCAGCCTGGGAGAGGAGAGTGGAAGGGTGGGAGGCCAGAGAGGTGGTCGGCAGGTGGCTGGCCGGCCTTGAGGGGCTCGCTGGATGGACGGCTGGGTGAGAATGAAGCCCCCAGTGGTCAGGGCGAAGAGGTGGGATGACGCTGAGTTCAGGTGTCGCTCGTGGAGTCGAATGTCTGGCGGACGTGCCCAGGAGCCCCGGGACTAGGAGGTGGGGCAGGAGAGGCAGGTCTGGGGACATTGGATGCTGTGGCGGTGCCCCCTGGGGAGTGTGGGCGGGGCCGGAAACAAATGTTTTCTCTCTGGCAAGTCTGGACAGAAGGTGTGGGCTGGGCTGCGCTCCCTCCAGAGGCTTGGGCGGGACGGTGGGTCAGGGCCCCGGGCATCCTGGGCTCCATCGCCCCTGTCCCCCCGATGGCCTCGCCCATATGTGTATCTCTCCTCTGATCCTAGTAGGACACTCGTTGTTGGATTTCGGGCCCACCCACTCCCGGGGGATCTCCTCTCTGATTACGTCTGCCTTTTCCTGAGAAAGACGTTCACAGGTTTGGGGCAGGACGTGAGCATGTCTTCTGGGGCTCCCATTGGAGGTACCACGCATGGCAGGACTCTGGACTGAGGACAGCTGTGAGAGGAGACCTCAGAGAAACTGCAGTCCATGAGCAGTTGTGCTGATCCAGTTGAGGGTCCACGATGGGACCCCAGAGAGCGCTGCCCATCTTCTTCCCGGGAGTGGGCTGTGTGATGCAGGAGCAATCCCAAGGACCCTTCGCCCAGGCTTTGGGCCCAGACCCGGTGTGGCCAGGTCCCCACGGTCCCTCCTGGGAACTGTGAGCCTAGAGCAGCTGCTGAGCGGAAGGGCTCCCCCGTGGCCTGTGGCCTCACCCCGGTGCCCAATTCTGTGCCTGACTCTGTGCCGGGGTGAGGGGGTGTGAAAGTGTGGACTCGGGGCTGTGTGTCCAGGTCAGACGACTCCTGCCCACTCCCTCTGTGCCCCAGGTCCTCCTCGGGAGGGTGGTAACAGCTCTGTGTGGCAGGGTGTTCTGGGGAGTTTGGAACCTGCCTGGTCCGTAGGATATGCCATGTCAGCATCAGCCCTGGCGGAGATGTGATGAGGAGGAGAGGGGCCCACAGACATGGCACAGCGCTGGGGGCAGGGAGAGGACAGGGGTTGGGGGGCACCCTGCAGTCTCTCCGGTGGGTCTTCCTTCTACCCCTTCCAGCGCCGGCCCGTATGTCTGCACTCTGTCTCCTCCCTCAGAGCTCCTTGGGAGGGGCTCCTTGGCAGCCAGTGAGAACGCCCAGCTCAGCTGCCCTCCAGCCCCAGGGAGGCCGAGGGCTGGGCTGGCCAGGGAACGGGCACCCCTTCCTCCTGCCGCCTGCCCGTCCTCTGCCGCAACGGTGCCCTGCTGTCCCCGCGAATCCGTAGTGACACTGAGGGGATGTACCGTGTCCCAGCAGATGAAGCACGTGAGCCCCAGCCAGAATTTGCAGCCCTCCCAAACAAGGCGCTCACCCCAAAGGTGGCTCCGCGGCCCCCTGGCCTCTGGTTGCTGGAACAGTGTGGAACGCGGGGTGCCCTCGCGTGTCCATGTTTCACAGACTTGTCCCGAAGGTGGCTCGGTGCCCGCGAGCTGCCCATCTGCCCATCCCGGGGGAGTGCTCTGCAGACGGTAGATGCTCTATGGTTACTTTTGGTTTTTCTGTTTCTTGTTTTGAAGTTCCCCTGGCGGCTTACGAGTGGTTGGTTTGTTACCTGCTCCGCGAGAGTTATCAGAAATTAAATCAAGAGAAAAGATCAGGAAGCAATGACTTTGAAGCAAGAAACAACAGTCAGGTATATGTCTGTTTTAAAAAATCGCTTGTTTGATTCACTCCCAATTCCTGCACTGCCGTGGCCTCGGTAAGCTGCCTGTCGTGGTGGTGGCGGCTGAGCCCTCCAGCCCCTGTGACCACGGGAGTGTGGCTTCTCTGCACCTTGGTCTGCTGCAGGGACCTCACTGGACTGTGGGTGTTGTGTTCAAGGTGCCCGGCGGCATCTGGCCGCGGCTGGAGCGGGGACGCTGGGTTGTGGGGCCCCAGCTCTGGTCCCTCTCAGCCGACCGGCGGCGGCTTGGTGACACGCGAGGTCACACTTGCTTTCTCTCGGGGCATTACTGCCCTTCTCGGGGAGCCTTGGTGGGAATGGTCCCAGGGTGGCTTTGGTTCTCATGCTTGGACTGGGCTGGCTCCCACATTCCGGAACCTACCGCACAAAGGCAGCCTGCTCTAAAACACCTCCTGGCATCAGGATCTGGCCTGTTGTGACCCATACATCCAGTCCATCTGGAGTGACGGCTGTCGTTTGGGAGGCCACGGATAAAGGAAACATAAGAAGTTTGTAGAACTGGTGTCATTCCTTCTTGGCCTTGTTTTGTGAGGCTCATTTCACGTCCTCTGAGAACTCAGCATCTACGTCTGCCCGTCTCCTCTGAATGAACCCCGACCCCTCCCGTTACACTGTGATGGGCAGCTTCAGTGCTTGGGTGGACGTGGTCAGGAGCAAAGCCAGCGGTGTCTCCAGGGACCTGCTGGACACACCTGCCCCAGGTGTGCAAGTGAGGAACAGGATGGCGTCTTGACTGGAAAGGCCTGGATGGATAACTGGAACCCAGGGCTTATAGGAATTCAGCAGGTGGCCCCCATCAGTAAACTTGAGCTCAGTGCCACGGCGACCAAAGTAGGAGGCGTAGCAAGGATCCTTCTGGAACGGCTGGGGCCACAGCAGGCTTAGTCTTAGGACACTGACGAGGGTGGATTAGCCTGTCCCATGTCACCCCTTTCCCTGCCCATCAGGCTGTCACTCGGAAGTGGAAGTGGAGGGCCTCCCTAGAGTCACAAGCCAAGGCCCCAAAGAGATGGAGGGCACAAGAGGCACCCATTCCCGCTGCGTCCGAATCCCGAAGAGCTGCCTGGAGGTGGCTGTGGGTCTCCGTGCCGTCCCTCTGCACGCCTGCCTGCTGGCCCGTGCCTGGCACCCTGACACCGGACCTCAAGCAGGGGCTCAGCCGTTTTAGAAATAATTCACCTTTACGCCTTCGTTAAAGCACTCCGTGGCAGCACTTCAGTGAATCACACGGCAGAAAAAGTCAGGAGAGGCCAGCCTCGCCTGGCTCTGATCCCAGAGCCTGCGAAGAGCAAGCCCTGGGTCAGCTCTCACGGCCTGGGCTGGACGCTCACGGACGCCCCAGGAGGACACAGCCCCTTCCCATACGGTGACCTGAGCAGCAACTGGGCATGAGAGGAAAATTTCAGAGAGAATGCGTGTGTAGCCTCGGCATGGGACGCGCCTTCTTGAGACAGGAAACCAGAAGCCGTAAAAAAGAAAAAGTGGTCAGATGTGACTGTGTCAATGCTCACCATTTCTGTAAACAAAGTCTGGAGACAGGCTGCAGGCTGGGGACGCAATGCGGCGGGACCGGCAGGGCGTCCCGCCGGGGAAGGGCTCTTGGCCGGGGAACCAGCGTCGGCACAGCGGTCGCCGAGCACGACCCGGGCCGTGCAGGGGAAGGATGGTGTCTGGCGGGTCGTGGGGGCAGGAGCTGTTCTGCCCTGTGGGGCGGTTAGGGGCTGCTTTTCCGTGAAAATACAGAGCGTGCTGACTCTGACTCATGGGGGAGCGCATTTATCTCGCATCCCCTCCTGCCCACCCCTGAACAGCTGCCCCTTGCTGTGCACCTACTACAAGCCGGCCGCACACCGTAGGTTCTTTAAAAAAAAAAAGATGCGTTTATTGCCTTTTTTGGCCGAGTCGTACCCTCCCATGTTCAGAGTGAGCATGTGTAAAACGGTGGGCGGTGGGGCCCCATACGCCCGGAGCTGCTGGCCTCCGAAGGCAGATGAACCGTGTTCTCCTCGCCCCACCACACCCGGGGCTCCTGACACGGGTCGTTTCCTGCCATCTTCTCTGATGGATCGGGCAATCGGGGCCAAGAGACATGCCCTGGGTCACCCGGCTCAGCTGTGCTGGGGCTGGCCCGGAACCCAGCGCCATCCCCAGGCCCTGGCTCTTTGCCCTGAACTGAGGTCTGAATGTGGACAATGAGGAGTTTGTTTTTTGCCTGAAGTGTCCATGATTCGCTCCTGTGCAAATATCCTCAGGAATTAGAGCACAGCAGAAATGAACAGCTGGACCTGATGGTTTAGGGCTTCGTGGGGGTGGGGGCTCACTGGAGAGGGGGAGGGGGTGGGGGCAGGGGCTGGCCCTCCGGACTCTTCACAGGTGACGGCCCTGCCCTCGAGCGCTCGCAGTCTGCGAGCACTTGTCCTGGGTTCGCTGCTTCCGAGTGACAGCTGACCCCCAGCCACGTTGGACTCCCTGCGGGGACAGTTAAACGGCACGGCCCGGGGGGTCAGCGGACTGTGCAGGAGCCCACGGGCAGAGCCGTGGCCTCACCGCCTGTCCCCGCCTAGAGGAGCTTGGGGGAGCAGAGGCTCCGTCTGACCATCCACGGACAATTCCTGGGGGGCCTGTCCTGTGCGCTGTGGGATGCTCAGCAGCACCCCACCTCTGCCCACGAAGGTGTCAACAGCACCCCTGAGTTTTGACAACCAAAGATGCCAGCCAGGGTCGGGTGTAGACACGGAAGGCACCGCATGCTCCTCAGTACAGCTCAGGCCACGCGAGTGCTGTTCTTCTCATCAGAACAGATCTGGTAAAATGACAGTGGAGACGGGAAAAGAAAACCTAATGAAGCTGATGATGCTCAGCGGGCTCTGGGGGGTGCTGGTTAAGAAGGACACATCAGGACCAGAAGACCGGCCGAGGCCTCCTGCTCCCACAAACACAGCGGGCGTCAGAACTCCTGCACCTGCAGGCCGGCTGGGAATGGTCCCGTGTCTGAGCCGCAGGGCCCGGCACGGTTGTCCCTGTACGTGTCAGGTGGGGCCGAGCTGGGAGCGGCCACTGGCCTTCCCCAGGTTGTGGAGTGCACGGACCCCGGCCTCGGCCTCAGCTTTCTCTGGCCGCTGGCCTTCCTGCGGTGTTTGCACACAGGTGATGCTCATGCCGTGCCCCCTCCGTGCACGACTTCATTTGGTGTCATTGTCCTGCCCGGGGACGTGCACTGGAGCTCCCACCCTGGCCTGTGTGCCCAGCGGTTTCTTCCACCGCCCCCCGCAGGCTGTAACCGGGGCCCCAGCTGCCGGCTCACGGGGGTCGGCGGCCCTGTGTTGTGTTTTGTTTTAAGGTATACCACTGCCATCCCTTGGCCCTGGCGTTCCTGGAGCTCACGGTGGTGCGGAGGTTCCACGAGTACACGCACCAGCCCCACGTGCCGCCCCCGCTGCGGGCCGTGCTGGGGCGGCTCAGTGCCCTCTATGCCCTGTGGTCCCTGAGCCAGCACACGGCCCTGCTCTACCAAGGTGAGGCCCCTGCGGTGGGCACCTGTCCCCCCGTCCTGTCCCGCCCGGTCCTGCCCGGGGATTCCAGCCGCGTCCTAGCCAGGAGACTTGGCCTTTCTCGTGAGGTATTACCTCCATGTGCATTCACTGGGCATTCCTCACAGGCTGGGGGAGCCTGTGGGCAGATGAGGAGCCTAGAATCCACGGTAAGAAAAGTGGCATCAGGACAGGACGTTTCCGTTTCGTCCGGGGCCCTTTGAAGTCTGTTTCCAGTTCAGAGAATATTTCCAGGAGGCCCACGTTAGCTAGGCAGGGAGCTGGTCTATAGTGAGCTGAAGCCCATGCCTCCCGGCCCATGGGACCCAGATAGACACGAGCCCAGGCTGCTGGGAAGCACTCTTAGGAATGCCCAGCCTGAGGACCCAGGAGGGCTTCCTGGAGGAGGTGGTGTGGGGGCTGATTCCCAGAAGATTGGTGAAAATGGGGTAGGCCTGGATTTCTCAATCTGTTTTCATTATTGTCCTTCTAAGGAGCATTTTTAGGCCATTTTCTCTAATTTCCCCCGAGACATGTTAACGCTATGACAGCCTGTATATCTGTTCTCATCCTGTGTGTGTATCTTGGCTTTCTGAAGAGTGAGACTGTTTGTCCTGCTCCCCTCTCCAAGAACCAGGTTTTCCCCCTCGGGGCTGGTGTTGCCCCACAGAGGTGGTGAGAGCACGTGGCTAGGTTTACAAGGGGAGAGCGGGCTTCGGACCCAGGGAGTGGCAAGGTGCAGGGCAGGGGCCCGTGTGCTAAGACATGACAATTCCAAGAGATGGACAGTTTCTTTCACAAAAATCAAACAAAAGATTCTATAGCAAATGTGCTGTCAGATGCACAGGCCACGGCCTTGGGGCCCGCAAGATGCCATGGCAAGCCCACGATGGTGGTAATGGTGGTGCAGGTGGTGGTGTTGATGATGATGGTGGTGGAGGTGGGCTGATCATGGTTGGTGGTGGTCGAGGAGCTCTCCTGGCCTGGCCATGACCTCCTGGTGCATGCACAGCGATGGGAAAGGGACACGGAAACCCTGGCCCCGGCCAGCATGTTCCCGCAGCTGGGAGACCTCACATAAAGCACCTGGGGGGCTAACGTGGACATGGGGTACCAGGCCCCAGTGTAACCAGTGCTGTGCTTACAGGTGGCTACTTTTCTGGTGAGCAAGCAGGTAAAATGATCCAGAACGCCATCCTGGACCTGTGCTCACAGGTGAGCTGCGATCCCTCTCGTGTCATCACGATTCCCCCGCGTTACATGTAACCACTGCATAATGGCACATGCCTTTGCTTTGCACGCATTCGTGTGTGTGCAACGCTGAGCAAAAACAGGAAGATTACAAGAAAATATGCCTATGTCAGGAATCTTAGGCAGATAGTAACTTTTAGGGAATGTCTTAGAGTCTGTACTCTGTAATGCACTTTTTACAGCCACCCTGGTAATTCTCTCAAGCTTTCCAGGGACTCGGCCTCCGGCTTAAATTCATTTCATGGTATTTTTCTTGTGTATGGCATTCTTGTACCTTTATCACAGAAAGGTCACGTGGGCCAAACCCCCACCCTATGCTCTAGTGGTGCTCTGTCCAGTGGGCCTTTCTACGGGGGTGGACATGTCCAGAGCTGTGCCGTCCCATCAGTCACTGTAATCCCACAGCTGTCGGCCATGGAAAGGGGCCCGTGTGGCTGAGGTGTTGGTCTTTGATTGTCACCAGCAACACTTGAAGGGCCTCATGTGCTGGTCCCCCTGAACTAGGCAACTGTCCTTAGCAGAGTCGTCTCTCCTCTTGATGGCAGGAAACCCTTTTATAAGGTGTCTCAAATGACCGGCGCCATGCCGCTCCATTTCTCCCTCTTGGAGCTCAGAGTCGATGTGGTTCCAGGCAGCACCTCTGACTGGTTTTCAAACCTCTCCCCAGACTCAGCTCGCCAGTGGCCATCCCTCAGTCTCTGGGGGTTCTGGATCGGCGTGCATCTGTGACCGCACCGCACCCATGTGTGGCCACGCGTACTCTCCGCCCAGTAAAACAGTAACTGGAGGGTTTCCTGGGTGTGTTCCCCTTGCTCTCAAATAGCTGCATCCCCCAGGACCTGCACCTGGCGGCTGTGGCCCAGGCGGGCAGGTGGTCGCATGCACAGTCATGCCCCGGATGCCTCGTCTCCGTCCGCCACCGGGGAGGCCCAGGTCCTTGTGGTCACTCCGGGGGGCCTGGGTCAGACAAGTGGAGGGGGTGCAAGCCCCGTCCAGCAGTTCACTCGTGCATCGTCTGTGGGTGTGTTGGTGTGGCCTCGGCAGAGGTGGCCGCTGAGCCGGACCGTTTCCTGCTGTTATAGGGCAGGTGTGCTGACCCCTATCTAGACAAGCGGCCTTGCTGTGCTGATGGTTCCATCTGAAGTGGGCAGACTTGTTCATCTCTGAGCCGAGGGGCAGAGGGCGCGTGGCCGTGGAGCGAGGGAGCGGGTATGCTAATGAGCAGCACCCGAGCCACGAAGATGTGCTCCTCTCCTCTCTTGTGTGGACTGGGTTATTCCGAGCCAGCCAGGTGCTTTCCGTCTGCGTTGCCGAAACCGTCCCACTCCAGGTGCAGCCGAGGCACTTCACAATTATTTTAAAAAAAAAAGAATGTTTTTGCATTTCAAGAAAGTCCTTGGGAGTCTTCTCCCATAAATTCCACGTGTCCTATTGAAGAACCACTTGCACGAGGGGACAGGGGCGTCATAAAACCTCCGCACACCAGACAGCCTTGGTAGGACGGCTTTCCCAGGTGCCCATAAACACCTTCCCTGGCACATTTTTTCCGGACGTGTTTTCCTTTGCTGGAACGGCAGCTGCCCAGATCGGGCAGGATTCAGACACAAACCTGAGGACGCCTGCTGGTTAGTGAGCTGCTGAGCCGCTTTTACGAGCAGCCCCTACCTTATTGAAAAACAGTTAATGCACTGGAAGTCTTGAGTGATTAGCAACATGGAGAAAATATTCAGACATACACCAAGGGAATCTGTGATGCAGGCCAACGGAAAGATAATGCGTTAGTAACCGAGCCACGCACGCTCCTGCTGGGGTTACTGTTGCTAGCGGGTTGTAGCAACAAACGGCCAGCACTCTGTTTCTCAGCGGTCGCCATGGAGATTTCTGGGGGTTGCCAAGCGAATGGACTTTGTTTTCCAACAGCTGAAAGATGATGCGGTTGCCCTGGTGGACGTGATCGCCCCTCCCGACTTTGTCCTGAACTCCCCGATTGGCAGAGCCGACGGTGAGGTGAGGCCGGGTGGGAAACGCCGTGCATCCGAGCACCAGTGGGGGCTGCTCTGGGGGTGCTGGTGGTTGTTGCCGAGCCTGGGATGATGGCATGGGCCAGGAGCGCCCTGGCGCCTTCCGGAACGTGCTCCACTCAGGCAGCGGTGGAGGGAGGGGCCAGGAGAGGTCAGGGTGGTCTGGGGCGAGTTAGCCTCACCCCAGCCCGCCTTCCCGGGAGATGTGGGCTGGCGGCACCACCCTCCTAGGGCCGGGGTGCTGGGATCAGCACAAGCCCCTGTCAAGTGCGGGGGCCCTGCGGCGGTCCTCTTGTTCTCACACCCCCAGGGGCCATTCCCAGTGCTGGGTCTTCCTGACATCTCACAGTGCAAGACCCTGACCCTTTCTGTCAACCGACCATCCACCCCTGGTACTTTCACTTCCCAGCAGCCCCCACTTGGATCCCTGATCTGTCTTGCCGTGCTATGCTCCAGAATGATTTCTTCAAGTGATCTTGTCAGGTCACTCCTCTGCTGAGCACTCCACCACCATCCCTCATCCCCAAACCTGCATGCATTTCCCTTCCCGCACCCCCAGTCCAGGCAGCCTGACCTCTTTCTGCCTGGTTCTGCAGGGTCATTTTATGCTGTGCTCCTCCTGCCCGCTGGACTCCAGCCTGACTGTCCCCCTCTGTTCTTCTATTACACTAGGCCTCCCCACCACAGGGCCTTTGTACCTGCTGTCCCTCTGCCTGGAGCACTTCCACATTGCACCTGAGCAGAACGCTGCCTCTCAGCCCTTCCCTGGCCTCCAGCCCAAGTGTCGCCCCCAGGCAGATGCCCCCACTTTGTCCTGCCATGGGACCGTTGCTATGCTCGTTCCTGAGCCCACTCCTATCCCGCGTGCTGCGGGATGCTCACGGGTCTGCTCAGTGCCTTCCAGGAGTGCACCACCTACAGCTTGTTGTTGCAGTGTTACCGCTCGCCTGAGGTCTCACAGACCGGGACCCCACCTGACCCCGACCCCCAAGGCCATGTTCTTTGTGCTGAAACACCTGCTTTCAACTCAGGCTCTGTTTCAGTGGAGACTGAACGTAAGGGGGCAGGAGCCCTCCATGTGTGCTCAGGGGAACAGACTTCTCCAGGGAAGCGAGCAGGTGCCCTGGCTGTGGCCTGGCCCAGGCCACACCTGGGGTTGGGATGGTGTACTGGGCCCTGGGGTGGGCAGGATAGAAGTCCCCAGGCCGGTGTGGGGACAGTAACATCTTTAGAGGCCCGCTGTCCTCTAGCTCCCTCCCACATGGTGTCTGTTACACAGCCGCTTTGCCAGGGAGAAACCCGACATCCAGAGAAGCCAGGTGGCCTGCCCACAGCTGCCCAGCCAGGATGTGGGTAGAGATTTACCACCTGGAGAGAAGACAGGAGACCGGACCTCAGTCCCCAGTGTGGCCCGGGCCCCAGTGGGTGCACGCAGGAGGACATGCCAGTAAGGCAGGGGGCTGAGGCTGACCTGCCCATGGGGGCACTTACCAGGCATCCGGCTGACATGCACTTGAGGAGGACCTGGACATGGCATCATGAGAGGCCCTGAGTCCCCGGGAGTGTTAGCGGGTGCAGGAGCCAGGGCGGCCGGCTCACTGCCCTGCAGAGACAGCCCAGCCCCCGGGCCGAAGAGTGGCTGGTGCGCAGGAGCCTGTCCCTGAGCTGCAGGCTCTTTCTGGCTCTGGATTCCACCGTGGAATCCCGAGGCCTCACCTGACAGGCAGGTGTATACGGCACACATTGTAACCAGGGGCTGCTAGGTGAGAAGTGCATTTTAAGTGAACAGACCCGGCTGCCAGAGCTTATTTAAGATGATCATTCCATGAAGCATCATGTTCCAAATTGCCATATGTGACCTGTGCGGAGAGAGCGAGGCTGAGTGTCCCTGGGGGAGCAAGCAGAGCATTTGGAGGGGCCCAGGAGTGCACTCAGCAGGTGCAGGGACACTGGCTTCTTCAAAGTAAGGAGCAGCTGACTGGCTCCGTGGTCGAGCATGCGACTCTTGACCTCAGGTTGAGTTCGAGCCCCATGTTGGGTGTGGAGCCTACTTAAAAAAAAAAAAAGAGTAAAGTTTGTCAAGGCCAGCCCGGTACATAGGAGGCCCCTTCCCTGGCTCTGTGGACTGGAGACCTGTCAGCCTGGGCGCCATGTTTGGGGTGGATGAAGAACCAGTCAGCAGCTCCTGCAATGTGCATGGCCTTCCTCCAGGATAGACACTGCTCTGCTTTCCCCACTGGGCAGCCCGGCGGAAGGGGTTTGCTGTGAGCATGCTGGAGGAGGTCGCCCACTGGCCCAGACGTGCAGGCGGACGGGGCCCGTGTGCAGGCACCCCCCCAGCTGCGCAGGGGAGGGAGCACATGTCAGAGCAGACAGCTAGCGCTCACCTGCAGAACCCTGTGGGCCTCCCCCTACGAGAGTTCCCAGAGAAAAGGACACGTACAAAGCTGTCACCCTAAGCGTGTTTTAAAGTATTACGTGTTTCCAGTTGTTTTCTGTGAGAAAAAAAGATGGATGTAAATTAAATCATCTTAAAATTTTCTAAAAAGTGACCAGAGGATTTTCTGTGTTTTCAGCAAAAGCATATGAGGGGATCTGTGTCTGTCCCCTCGGCTGTGTGAGGAACCTTGTTTATTATTCATGTATGTGTTTATTTTTTGTAGCTCTATAAAAACCTCTGGACTGCTGTCCTTCTGGAAAGCAGAGTGCTGGAGAGGCCATCATGGTGGTCAGAGTTTTCCGTCCATAAGCCCCGTATAGGAAGTTTGAAATCAAAGCTGTAGTCACGCGGCCCGTTCAGCTGAATCTAGGTAAGCTGGTCCAGCTGATGGAGACGGGGACCTCAGATCCTAGTTCCAGACGATATGGAAACGCTGCCCCTTTCTGAACGCACCTGTGTTCATACCCGCCCGGGGAGGGCTCCCCGCAAAAGGCACAGGGCAGGTGCCTCCGCCAGATTTGCTGTGTGCAGAGAAAATCCGTATGATCACCTCTTCCCGATGGACTCTTTTTTTGATAATTAGGACTTGGCACGTGCTGCGTTCACATGCCAGAGAGGAGGCCACGTGCTCACAATCAGGGGCTTTCTGGTCTGATGATCTTGCGCATTCTGAGATTTCTTCCAAAGCTCTGCTTCACTACTGCTCAGTGATGCCAGTCTGAGTCTTTGTTAACTGCTTTGACTTTATCGTGTAATTAAATCCCATTTTAAGCTTACCTGAGTGATGTAATTTGAGATTCCTAAGGAGAAGAAAATCCATTCTGTGTGGAAATTGCAGTTTCCATCAAGGAAATGTTTCCAAAGAAAATAAATGCATCACATGAGTCTGGTCGGTTTAGGGTGCTGAGCTGCCGGGCCGCACGCTCGTTCCTTCATCCCGGTTTGCAGTTCGGATCCGGCTGTTCTGCCATCGGCAGGATGGCCGGTGCTGCTCAGCGGCTCCCCGCCCGGCCCCGTAGGCGAGTGCGCCTGCCTTCCGGCGCAGACCAGGTCAGAGGGGGGCGGACCCCCAGGCGGTCACTCGTGGGTCCCTGCTCAGCACGACCGGCTCGCGGGTGCCTCTCTGTCATCAGCAGCTGCTCTGTCACCTTGGAGCGGAGCAGGCAGACATGACCCGGGCGCCCGAGGACCACAGGCGGTGCCAGGGGACCGGGGATGGCTTCTTGCTTCCGAAGCTCCGAGCCTCCGAGCACAGGAAGGGCAGGGCAGGACCTGTTTTTAAAGACTGAATTTCCAGCTTTGGGAACTGCCGGAGTGGTTCCTTGACTTCTCAAGCCTCAGTTACCACGCCTAGAAAAGGGGAACCCAACCCCACCCTGGGCCCCAAAGGGCAGCCAGGAGCAAGTGACTGGGTAAGAGGAGCTGCTTTTATGGAGCACTTACTGTATGCAGGGACTTTGTTGTCACCATTCCTGGACCCTCAGACAGCCAGGTGAGGGCAGTCATACTAACATGCCCATTTTACAGGTGAGAAAACTGACCCTGAAAGCCTCAGTCACCACCATGGCCCAAACACGGCCAGGAAGTTGTCCGGCCCAGAGCACACGCACGACCATCCCGATGTTCTCGGCCCAGCACAGGGCCGGCACAGAGCGGGCCCTTGGTAGTATCAGGGTCGTAGTTTTAACTGCGGGGAACTCCCACCCGAGTGTAATATACCTCTGGGTGGGCGTTTTCTACCAGCAGCTGCAAGAAGCTGTCCCGGGTCCAGCGAGCTGCGCCGAGGGCCGCGGCTCATTCAGCTGGGAGTCTTCCCCCTTGGGTGCAAACTAGGAGCCAGCCTCCCGAGGCTCTGTGGGGCCGGCTGGGCGGATACAAATGGAAACCACCAGAGCATAAAGAAGACAGTAAAAACCAGCCCAAACCCCTGTTAGCGTCCCGCGGACAGGTTCTTGGAGGACTTGTTTGCATCATCGTGCCCGTCCTCCGGGAGTGATGGACGGCAGCTGGCATGCCCTACAGCCTGCAGGCGCCAGCCGTGAAGCCAGCACATGGCCATCGGGCACTATTTCAGGAATGTAGAAAGCGTCAAAGAGGAAAATGCCACAGCTCCACTCTCAGCCATAACCACTGCTTACATGTCATTTCCTTTGGGGCCAGAGGGCACAGAATTGGGTTCATTGTCGTCCTGGGTTCGTGCCGGGTTTGCCCCATGCCACTCCGAGGCCAAAATGTTGACTGTCCTGTCCCCACTGCTTGGGGCCTGGTGGACAGTTCATCCCACCTCTGGTGGCGTGCTGGAGCGCCCCATTCCTGAGGCCCTCTGTGTGTTTGTGCACTCGTGTGTGTGTGTGTGTGTGATTTTCCTAACAGAGTGTGGGGCCATCCTCTAGACTCCTTTTCCTGCTGAAGGGTGTTTCTCAGGCACTTCCCCTGCTGAGCAGCACGAATGTACAAGCTTAACAAGCCTCCTGAGGGACGTGGAGAGTTAGTTTCTGCCCGGAGTGGCTCTGTGCATGGGTCAGCTCCTGGAAGCTGGCCTGCTGGGACCAGCACCTTGAGGGAGGGGCTTGTGATACCAGCACCGAGTCAGAGGTGGCACAGCCAGCGTGGACAAGCACAGGATGAGAGCCAGGCAGGACCAGGCGGCACCCCTGATGAAACAGCACGAACGACTGACTCCACCTCATTCCACACTTGTCAGCATTGAAATGGGCTAGCGAGGAAAGCACAGCACACGGGCCTGGCCCGCAGATGGTCAGTGCTTGAGAGGTCTCCACATCATCACACCGTGCCCAGGAAGGCACCTGCCTTTCCCGCTCCGTTGCCCTTCCCAGCGGTGTCCTCCCGGTTCCAGTCTGGGCAGTGAAGGAACACTGGCGTCTCCTGGGCAGATGCACTCTTCCCTGCTCCCTACGGAGGCTGAACATGTCTCCCCAACTATTTATAGGCTACCTCTATGTGCTCTGTGATGATTGCCGCTTCTCGCTTTTTGCCTAATGGAGCCTTTAGTTTTCACAATATTTTGTTGATTTTAAAAATAGTTTTTACATATTAAGAACAATAGACCTGGGACATACATATTATCTATTACTTTCCCTCATTTATCTTTTGCCTTTTGATTGTATTAATTTTTTTCTTTTTGATTTAACATGAAGTTTAAAATAAAATTTGAAATCTTATATAAAACTAAGAATCTTTTCTGCTTCGTCCTTTGAGGTCATGCTTGGAACGTTCTCTCCCACACCAAGATTATTTCTACTTTCATCTGTTTCTCTAGAGTGTATCACAGTACTGAGTTGACCAGGAGTTGATTTTGAGATACGGTGTGAGGTAGGGATTCCAGATGGCTGGCCCTAACTGGAAGTGCCACCTGTAGCAAATGCCAGAATCACAGACATTCCTGGGCCCATTTCTGCCTTTTTCTATTTTAGTGTCTTTTCTCACACCAGCTCCTACGGTTTCCATTATTGTGGCTTTCATACTTTTCAGTATCCTTTGGAGCAGGCAAAACCTCTCTCGTCTCTTGAAAAAAATGTCTTAGATGTGCCAACTTTGGTATTATTTTGTGAAGTTTGGTGCTCTCCCTTCTCGAGATTAATGAAAGAATCTTTGGAATTTGGGGTTTCATTTAATCTACAAATTACCATCAGGAGAATTTATATCTTTATGGTGAGTAGTCTTCCCATCTAAGACCTTTTATTCATGTTGTTTTTAATAAGAAGCTATCTTGCTTTGATATATTTACTGTAACTGGTCACTTTTTTAAAAACCTTAGTTATAATAGTCTTATGTTGATTCTCTTGGGTTTTCCTTATATGTCATTGGCAAATAGTGATGGTTTGGCCATTATCTTTCCAAAACTTTTACCAGTCATTTAACCTTCCTGGCTAGCGTCTGCTGGTCCTGCTGGAACAGTCTCCTCACAAGTGGCGGTGGCCCCCACTGTCCGGTCTCAGACATTCAGGGTTTGCCTTCAGGGGTTTGCATCGGTGTGATGCTGTGTGCGGGATGGGCTGCAAAGACATACAAAGGCAGAGGACCAAGCCAGGGACCTTCTATCTGGGCCACATACACAGGCGCGTGCTCATGGCTGGAAATCTGACTCCCCGAGGACAGAGACTGTGGACTGGGAGTCTTCCCCCTTGGGTGCAAACTAGGAGCCAGCCTCCTGAGGCTCTGTGGGGCCGGCTGGGCGGATACAAATGGAAACCACCAGAGCATAAAGAAGACAGTAAAAACCAGCCCAAACCCCATGATCATTCTCGAGAACCCATTAACATCTTGGGATTGAGGTCTTCTTTGTGGCCACTAATGTTCTTGGTGGCCGTTGGGCCCTCTGTTATCATGGGGCTGCATCATTGACATTTAGGGACCGTCCCTTTTGATGTGCTTCTGATAGCCTGGCCTCAGCTCTAGTCACCTTTCTCCCAGTCTTTTTATCCCCCATGAAAGACTGAAGGTGGTCTTGCCCTTGGGACCACCCCTTCCACGAAGTCAGTGTTTACTCAGCACCCACCCACACACCAGGCACCACGCAAGGGTGTGCATCTTAGTTACAAGGTTCCTTTCTGTGCTACTTGGCTCATGCAGCTGTTTGGACATTCCCCAGACTCCATGGGGAGCGTGTTCTGCCGGATGGTGGGCCCCATCCAAAGACAACAGGAGGCCACACGGCTTCAGGCAGTGGCCTCCGGGTGCGTGAGCCACTGGCTGCCTAACCGCTCGTGACCGGCAAGCCGGGCCGATATACCCGCCACATGGAGCCCCAGCGCCGGACCGGCCCCAGACACCCGCAGAACGGCTCAGCCGTGTGGCTCCTGGCTACATCCGTGGCAGGTCCACTCTCCACGGGGTGCAGGAAGTCATCCTCCGTCTCCGGACAGGGGACTCCTGGCCACACGGTGCAGCCCAGCAATCCCACGCGGCCCCTGGTTTGCTTTCATGTTCACTCACAGCCACTTGCGGTCCCTGAAACCGATACCCGGGGACTTTTCTTGGGCTGTGGCCTTGACCCTGAGTCCAGGAGGTCAGGAAGGCTCAGGGGGACCCATGTTCCTACCAACTGCTGGGAAAGCTCCCTCACCCTGTTTCCCTTCCAGCGCGAGGACTGAACTCAGGTGGTTCCTATCCTGCCAGACTGCCCGGCGGCCCAGGGAGGTGGCTCAAGCTTCGTGATGCCCAGAGGAAGGCAGTGCTGGTCCCGTGAAATGGC